AAGGAAGATGCGCTACTCGCAAGCATTTTATATTATATAAAACAGACATTGCCCTGTTACGGGCATGTGGTGTAGTTGGTTATCACGCTCGCTTAGCACGCGCGATTGCGAGAGGGGTCCGGTTCGATCCCGGACATGTCCAGTTTTGCTGCAATAAACCATAATGCTCTCACGTGACATGGAGAAGTGGCGCAGAGCATCACTGGCGTACCGCGTTTCGTCGTTGTTCAGCACTGCGACGATGTCTACTCCTCCAGTCGCGGCGGCGGCGCAGCCCAATCCTCTTCTCAATGCACCGAAACCTGAGCGACCATCGGCAGGGTCGCGCATGCCCTCGCTAAATGAACTCGCCGCACGCATCAACCTCAACCCAGGCAGCAACCCTGCTTCCGCTGCATCGCGGCCTCGTCTCGCTGCTGCGTTGCTCCGAACAGGTTCTCAGAGCTCACTCTCATCTACAGCGGCCTCAGTGGCCGATTCTATCACCGTAAACCCTCCAGGATCTCGCTCTGTCTCCCCCGCCAGTCTGTCGACATCACCTCCTGGTAGTCTTTCGACCACCCCGGTACCCAGTGATGCTGGACAAGGCGAGCCGATCACAAATGAGCGGCTCGAGAAGCATAACAAGGAGACGGACAAGAAGGACAAGTTGATTCCGGGCTACAAGAATATTCCTAGCCTGGACGCGATCACTGCCCGTATGGCGAAGACGCGCTCATTGAGTGTCGATGGCACTGCGAAGCCTCCTGAGGCGGAGACGATCGAGGACCCAAAGACTCCTGGGCTGCGTATCAAGGCTCCTGAGCACCCTCTTGAACATGCATGGTACGTAATGCTATCGATTGATGCGCCTTGGGTGGCCATATCCGTATATCAGCGTCTTCCGTTTCTGTAATGATCGATTAAAGCGCCGCGAGGACGAGAACTCGCTTCGCCCACGCGATAGTGTTGGCGGCGGGCGGATAAAATCTCAGAAACATTCAATTCGTGTTTATTGTTGCCAGAATGGCATATGTTCCCCTGAAAGCCCGATTATAATCATTGATTGCTCTGTATGTACCCGTGTCCCAACCGCATTGACACCGCCTTCCTTGCAGGACTATATTTCATGATACGAAATCCAAGATGCCATTTACTCCTGCATCTGCCACAGCCAACCCCGATAACGCAAAGAGCGCGGGCATGGACCCTCCGCCGAGCGCTACGCATTTTCAACCTCCCGACACTGACGAGTACGAGGCGGGTCTGACCGTGATTGGCGAATTCGACACGGTCGAGTCGTTCTGCAAGTATTTCAACTGGCTGAAGCCGCCGTCGCGGCTCGAGCGCAACTCGAACTACCACCTCTTCAAATCGGGCATCAAGCCGATGTGGGAGGACCCGGCGAATGCGAACGGTGGAAAATGGGTGCTCACGATGAAGAATAACCCGCAATTGCTGGACCGCTGCTGGAGCTGGCTCGCGATGGCCCTCGTCGGCGAGGATTTGGATGAGGGCGATGAGATTTGTGGAGCGGTAGTGAGCTTGAGGAGTAAGGTTGACAGAATCCAGCTGTGGACGCGCAGCAAGGACGACGTGGAGAAGATCAATGGGATCGGGAGGAAAATGGTGAAACTGCTTGATGTCTCCGAGGCAGACGGTATCGGTCTTGAGTTCCAGGTACGTTCTTCTTGCACAATTTACTGCAGATTCTGAGTTGGTCATCGCTTGCAGTACAACAATGATGATCGCCCGATCCCGAACAAGTTCTTGACGATACAGGCTCTTCCGCAAACGTCCTATCGCTCGTCGTTTCACAACAAGGGCAGCCCTTTGAACGGTCCGGGAGAGCTCCCTGGCAGTGTTTCTGGTCTTCCCAACGTGGGACCTCCGGGTCCGGGCGGTGCTTTCGCTGGCTTTGGCGTCGGCGGGGGCGGAGTGTTAGGTAATCAGGGCTGGAGAGGGAAGCGGATGTGAGATATGCATACTGTAGCGGATTTCATCTGTGATGATTGTACTTGATATCGCGCACGGACGATTGGGATCAGTTCAGAGGAAGTTGCAGAGGCAAATGTCAGTAGTGATGTATGAGCTACGTTGGAGCTATCCGAATATTTTCACGGTAGTTCGTGGATCAAATTGTGATTCTCTTGAGTTTCTGCTCTGCCTGATGGGCCTGTCGGTTTAGTTGCATGAATGCCACATCTCAAAAGGCGACGAATGTCCTCCCAACATATATTTGATGGCTCGGTAAAAGCAGAGCTAGGCAATCGATGCAGGCATAGCCTTCGGAACTTTAGTAAACTCATATTTGGAGCTATAGAAATTAGCTCTAATGCGACTAGTAGTCGATGGTTCTTAACATTATCGGCAGAGATCCTGGCATGAGCTGTCCATGCACAGTCGGGCAAATGAGGCTAGCTTAATTAAGCACTCAGAGAGAGTAATGTTTGAGTATGTATGAAGAAGACGAGGAACGGTCTGTGGCGCGTGAAGGTGAAGACACCGGGCACGTGCATCAGCAAAAAGTGTTCCGCTATGTAGCGCGCACCCAACGCCACATAGCGCCCATAGCTTCCGTAGCACGGTCCCTGCTATGTAGCCCTCAGTAGGTCTATATCACCTACTAATGATGCTGCCCGTGCAATGTAGTGGTAAGTTGGACCAAGGTATGGCTTCATAGTCGATATAGGTCTAGGAAATATCGCTGCGGCCCTGGTGTTAGCCAGCTACCATCTTCCTGTCTCGTGGGCGTGAGGAGTGAGAGGCCGATTAGGGCTACAAATGATAGTAGGGAGTAGCTACTATAGGTGAGTATATGTACACTTCCCGTAGTCGTTCGCTCCGTTCTCAGGTACCGCCCTGCAACGTGTTTCACCTGTCGTCCCTCCCGACGTGTAAGCAACAATTCTCCCTTCTGTTATGACATCATTGAATAGTGATTCATTTCAACCACTGCTAGGGTATCTATATACAATATAATGCATGAGAATGGGCAGGTAAATGCTTATGAGTTGAGCATGGTAGCAGGAAGAGCGCCAGTTGTCAGACAGACTGCCGCTCAGCGCTCAAGTTGCACTGCCTGCTGTCAAATGCGCGCTTAACGTGGCACCACTTTCAATTATGGAAGTACGTCTGCCTTTTGGAGCGGCACTTAAGTCACGTTGACAATGTCGTACATAAAATTTTCGCTCTTCGAGTCGTTCTTCTCAAACTCCTCCCACCACTCTTTCCTACCGTGGCTCACCCAGCTCTCCCAATGGACCGCTCATGTAGTAGTCCCATGCGCATTGGCCGTGGCCGTGGCCAGCCGAGTTGCCGAGTGCAGCTCATCTGCCTTTTTGTCAGGGCACTGACAGGCCAGGTGCCCGACCGTCCCGCGGATGTAGCACGCACGCGTCTTCTTCGCGCTGGCTGTGCTCACCTTCTCTGTCCTCCGGTGAGTGGTCGGCATCTTGCTTTTCATCTGGCTGACTCGCACTTCCTCATTCAGGGCCATTGCAGAAACCTTATCGACGGTCCATTGACGTCCATTCGTCGCGGTCGACCTCATCAAGTTTCGCCTCTGCACGGACAAGCACCGCTTTAAGACCCAAGATGAAGACTACCATCTTGAACTTGTCTGGCACCTCCTCCCCGATCGACCCCAGCGCCCTCACCAGCCCCTTGGCCCTCCCAGTCCACTCTTGCACCGTTTCCTTGGTGCGCATCTCCGCCCACAGCAGCTCCTGCAACCGTGTGATTTCTGCCGTTAACCTCCTGCTCATGTGGATGTCCTTCAAGACGATTCAGATCGCCTTCCAGTGGGGCCACAGTGGTCTTGGACATGTTCGAATTGCTCGACATCCAAGCGCAGGACGATCTCTACCTTCACGCACCTCATGTCGTGGGGATTCCGATCCTTCTTCGTCTTCTCTGATGCAATGCACCTTGCTCACCCCCCGTCCGACACCCACGTGACTGTGGGATGATTATGTCTGACGCGCTGGCATGGACTTTGTGGTGCGTTTTAATGTCGAAGGAGGATGTACATTCGGAGATTACAAAGTGTTCATTATAGAGGTTGAATAAAAATCGTACATATGAGTAAGACTAGTGATAGTGTAATGAGAGAGGGCCCAAGTCTAGTATTATGTATCTCTGTCTTGTGCACGAGGACGGCTACGGTAATACATTGCATTTGAGGTGCTGCGCTCCCAAGTATTCGGCGGAGCACTGCCTTCTCTTGTTGAATTCAGACGCCTCTCCCTGCTTAAGCAGTTCTCGGCAAGCCGAAGGAATCCCGCACCGTCGCGCTCGAGTGTCTGTAACATTCTTTGGTCCTGGAATTGTATCTGGTACTCAAGCCCATCAGCAAAATCCTCTAAATCGCTCTGTAAAAGTTGCTCGCCCAAAAGTACTATGTTCCCAGCTATCCACAAGATCCTCCCCATCAAATTCGTCTTCGGTGTCAGCATTTTCGAGGCTGCAGTCTGTGAGTGCTGTGTTGTCGGTCTTTTCCAGTCCAGCAAATGACGCAGCATGATCAGCAGGATCAACGTCAAGTGGAATTAGAGATGGGTGAGCCCAAAACGGCGTTGTGCGATTGCGTGTGACCTCAAGGAAGAATGTCGGCTGCACTGGATGTACGGATTGGACGAGATGTTTGCAGAGCAGGAACCGGCTTTTACTAAAAGCGGGGCAAGCGCACACCCATTTGCGCGCGTCAGGGCGGTAATTGTGCAACTCGCGATCGCCGTCGATTGTCTTGTTCGTCAGCTGCTTCCAAATGGTCTTGAATGCTTTTCGCCATGTTGGAAGGCCGCGATATCGTCCGACATTGTTGAGCATGAGATCAAGCTTGCGATAATAGGTAGGCGCTAGCTTGCGGACTAAGATGTATATGAGCAGATCAATGCGAGGTTTGTGGAATTGATGCAAGAAATCCTTCTTAAGCCGCCGCCAACTGTTCATATCAACGATATGGTCAGTTCTCCAGAATGCCTCAAAGAATATATGCTTACTGGCTTTCCACGAGCATGGTTGTCTTTAATCTGGGAATGAGATGATAGGCAGACCGCGCCCAGAGGTCCCAGCGGCCAGGCCGATACCAGTTCTCCCATAGGTACGCCCATAGCTCTCGTAGATCATGTTCCACACAGTAGTGATACATTTGCTTTACAGCCCAGGTGCGTATCGCCGATGCGCTCGGAGCGCAGTAGCCAGGAATCAAGGGATGAGCGCACAGGTGCCCTTCCATCATATCGACGATGCAGGTGCGGTGTTCTAGAGGACAGAAACATCGTTGAGGATTGTCAGCAGCAGGTTCATGTGCCGGACTGGGTAAGTCATGCTGATTGTTCTCGTCTGTGTTGTCCTGCTGATGCCTTGCAGGAATGACGATATGCAGCTTCTCCGTGGAAGGGAGCTTGAACACATGCGGCAGCTGGCCAGAAGTACTGTTCTCGACCATTCTTCGTGTCACTTGGGGGTGGGTACGGCCTGGAATGGTGATGTGAAGCGCAACCGGATCATCGCAGCCTGTTTCGGAGGCTGGGGGCTGCACAGACTGTTCAGGTATGCCGTCTTCATTTTCACTGTGGTCAGGCTGGTCGAGAGGAGCGAAGGTAATGTCAATGAATGGGAATTCCGCACACGTGTGGGCTGGGTGATATGGAGTTGTCGATAGCTTCGTCTTCGACAGCCGCTCACGGACTGCCTTCCTGAGATGCCACCAGCAGAGCTGGATCTTTGTAGTCCAGACTTTTCGCACCATGCCAATCTCCGACATATCTTTGTCCACATGCACAAATTCTGGTCTTATGCCGTATGTATCTCGGATTGCCCGAGCCCATGCCTCCAGCGCTTTTGTGCGCTTCCCGATGTCAATAGCATTTGCAGTCGACAGGAGGCAGTACGACAGGGGAAACCCTGAATTATCGTGCTCTGCAAGCGCAGTATAGAGTTCAAGGTTCTTGGAATTGGTATTATCTAACAGAACAGTCTCACATTGGCATGCGGCATTCACTTATCAGCCATGATTACTCACAGGTCGCATCAATGCCGATTTCCACCACCATATCCTTCAATGGCCCCGCAACGTGCTTCATACCCCAGCATAGTTGTTCGATGTCCTCCGCCGGTGCCACAGCCAGGACGTCAACGTCATTTTTGTATTCCTCAAGCAGTAATCCTGCAGAAGGTATTTGCAAATTATCTCTCTTCCAGTATCCTTGACTCATTTCCGTCCATGCATTGTGAACTTGTGCTGCGCTGATGTGACCGAACTTGCCTTGGACTTGTTGTATCAGGTTGCTCAGTGTGGCCCATTCCAGATTGTCGCGGATAATCTGTATAGCTTCGGCAGGGAGTGAGACATCGTAATAAGGTTTGTGACGGTAATGATGCTCAAGTCGGATGCGGATTTGCTGACACTTGTTATCGGCTTGGCAACACATAATGAAAAGGCGACTCCGGCATGCGAATCTATGCATGCCCAGAGTCTCTCGATGTTTGGCTTCCGCCTTCTGACTTGGCCATGCTTTCTGCTTGCGTTGCCTGTCTTGGCTGCACCACAGGCGCGTTTTATGGCCATTCTTGATCCTCGGGTGGTCCTTCACCCTGATTTGTTGTCAACGGTTGTTAACGGCATATGCAAACTCCATACGTACGTGAAGCGATACCCAGTGGCTCTCCAAATCTCATGAGTGGTCATTTGAATGCGTTCTCGATTGCTGACAACAGGATCAATCGGGATGGTATAGGACGCATCAAATGAGACTCTCTGGGAATGTTTAAAAGCATTCCTGAGTGCGTCAAACAGTGCTTGTGCATTGTCGAAGTTCACAGCAGTTGCCTGTTGCATTATCATAGACAGCATGTAAGTTCTTCCAATAGATACTCCAGTTATAATGCCGCACCATAGCTGCATCAGATTCCTCGTCAGAGCTACACTTGTTCTTGTCTGATTCTGCCCCCTCCATGACGCCCACAGGTATCTCCTTCTTCATTCCACCATGACCTTCACTCACTGACTGAGGACCTTCGCTTTTATGAGATGTTGTATGGGGCTTTTTCCCTGCATAGGACTGTCCGGAAGTTGCTTGAGAGCTGGGATCGACACCTTCCCTCTCACGCTTGCGCTTGCGCTGCTCAGCGCGGGCTTTACGATCCCGTTCTCGGCACTTTTCACATGTCTTCTTGTCAAAGTCAGGAGGCAATAGATTTTTGCATGAGGAATGAGAGCAGACTTTCGGCAGTGTGTCCAAGAGGTCCATTGAAGCAGTAGTAGAAAATAATTTACATTAAACTGCCTATGCGGCCTCATCCCGCTGAACCGAATACACGCGAATCCCTACAGGATTCATCACGGATTTGTACGAGGCGATGTTGCAGTACGCCATCACGTGATCGCGTACTTGGCTCATCACGTGAAATTCTCATATATGGTAATGTCGGACGGGGGGTGAGCTGGGCCAGCTCTCTGATGCTGCGAGTCTCTCAGCTGTCGTCATGTCATCCGTAACTTGTGCTCCACCCCCATCACTTCCACCGCCCTTCCTCTTCCGCTCGGCCTCCACATACACCGCCAACGTCCGGACTTCGAGCTGTTCAGTGTCAGTGGCTCAGCACTCAAACTTCACATCTCCGCTGTGACACTCGCTTCTTGCCGACGCTATAGGCTAGGCGGCATCAGCGGCGTGAGCAGCAGATCATCTACTAAGGGGTTCCAGCAGAAGTGTGTCGCAATTAGTGTCTGCTTTCCGATACTAACTCACCGCAACGACCACCGGCATCCGATTGCCAAGGTACGCAAACAGAAACACTTATCATATAATGATGCAATACTGCCGATGCTTGGCTTAGGTTGCCATCGTCAAGCTTGTACGCGCAACATTATCCACAGATGTACACGGTAAAGTCGCAGTGGAACTAGAGGCTCACACAATAGTATACTACACATGAGTAGTAGACATTAATGAGTTCATGACTGTGATCTTGGTGCACTGAACAATATATTGGTTTCGAAACCTCAATCCTGACGAGCCAGTCTGTCATCTTAAGCAAACCAACGTCGTGCTACATAGGATGAAATATATTCTGAAACAGATATATTGTGCGACATAGCAAACATCGCCTACTCAGGTATGAAGCTACAGCTGCTATGTAGCGCTACATCTTGGTCGCAGGGCGCTACTGCGCGCGATGTGGCTGGCGCCTGGTGCTACGACGGCTACGTAAGGGGTAACTTACCGATACAGCTACCACCACAATACGAGCCATGTAGGTCTATATAGCCGATACTTTTTTTGCTGATGTGCCTCGCCACAAGCGCGTTCTGATGCAGCATTTCGCGATGTGCCAGGTGCATCTGGCCCGGCATGGCTATCATTTCTTTACACATGTAATTCTAGGAAATCGTGGTGCGGCAAGGGTGTTAGCCAGCCGGCACCTTCCCGTCTCATGGGCGCAAAGGGAGTGAGAGGCTGGTGAGGCCACAAACGACTGGGGCCTTGGTACTACAGGTGCGTACTTATATGCTTTTCCACCCTTCCGTACTCGCCCGCTCCGTTTCCAGGTACTGCCTTGCGACGCGTTTCAGCCGTCGCTTGGCGCTCGTCCCTCCCGACGCGTTGAGCGCGTTCTACCGAAAGTGCCGTCGGTCGGCCACTTCCAACACGCCCCCTCGCGCGAGAACGCGTAGGTATTTCGTATCGCGCCCCCTCGGCGCCCCGTCCCTCTTCTTACTGCGCGTGACGTCCGCGCTCCCGGTTCCTTTGTGTCGCCCTCCCGGTGAGTGCCCTGTCCGTCTTGTATAGCGCCTGGACCGCAGAGCGCTCCGCCACTTGTATAGCACCTTTACGGTCCAGGCGCTGCCCCATTTGTGTGTGCGCCTGGGCATCAGCGCCGCCCCACTTGTGTGTGTGCCTGGGCATCGGCGCCGCCCCACTTGTGTGTGCGCCTGGGCACCAGCGCCGCACATCCTTTTGTATAGCGCCCGTGCCAGGTCGCTCCCGCCCTGCGATTCCGCTGCCAATGCAGCCCGGCTCGCATCGCCGACCGTATCGAGTGGTTTCGCCCCCTCGAGCTGAGTGGCACCGCCTCGACACTGCGCCCATGTAGCCGCCCTTACGTGGGCCAGTCGGAGTCGTTTGTCTAGGAAATCGTGGTGCGGCAAGGGTGTTAGCCAGCCGGCACCTTCCCGTCTCATGGGCGCAAAGGGAGTGAGAGGCTGGTGAGGCCACAAACGACTGGGGCCTTGGTACTACAGGTGCGTACTTATATGCTTTTCCACCCTTCCGTACTCGCCCGCTCCGTTTCCAGGTACTGCCCTGCGACGCGTTTCAGCCGTCGCTTGGCGCTCGTCCCTCCCGACGCGTTGAGCGCGTTCTACCGAAAGTGCCGTCGGTCGGCCACTTCCAACAGTAATCATGCAGAATAACAGAGAACAAAGGCTGGCGGGTACGAGACCCATTTCCCTCTGCCAAATGCAGAAGATTGTGCACAATGAAACCAATAATTGACATTTGTTTCCCATGACACGCACACAGCACCGCGATGTGATGGAGCATTTTGCGGTCTCCGAATCACAGCTTCGGCACAGGAAAGACAATCGGTGACATTTCTAAGAGTGGGGGATGGAAGTCACTCCAGTGTAGAATACTTGCAATTTGAAATTCACGTCATAAACGAACGCATTTCTGCTTAAAATCGAACCTGCAATTATAAGCTAATGAAAGATGTACACAATCATCACTCAAACTATTCACACTGATTTTGAAGCAGTTGCTCAACGAAACATATCATCATGCGAAAACCAGTACTCGATACGTACGAACGGTACGAGACCTCCAGTTGTAGGGAATGGTTGCTGAAAGGACGAATGGACTTGCATTAGCGTGTTGTGTTGGAACATAATATATCTTGTCGAGCTTACCAAAAGAGCCTGGAGACACCTCACCACAGTGAATGCCAAGTTCCCACTCAGCCTGTGCAATGTAGAGAGGCTGGCCGTTTGCATGTCGTCCCGCTCTGTCATGGGAGGTCTGCTCAGTATCATCAATAGACTGCTCAAGTGTTTCAATACTCACCGAACAGGAGTTGAGCCTTTTAGAAGGTTGTATGCAAACCTTCCCCTGACTGTAACCCATTTAACATAAGATTGTCCGGTAAGGATCTCGTAACCGTCACCGAACTAGCATAGCGGGAAGTCGAGGCAATCATAAATCACAACTGCGAAGGACGCCTCAGAACGGAGCCCAAGCACTTACGAAGATTTCCTCATCATCGTGAGTGATCCAACAGCGGACGGGACTGGCCTTCCCCGGATCTTGTGTGGGTCATTTAACATGATAATGGTTACCTACATGGATACATCAATAAATGCTCACGAAGTCCGCCCTGCGAAGTGACAAGAACGTCAAACAAGTGCACGATCTCCATATCAATCGTGACCACTTACCTCATGCGCAATCCTAGCAACATAAAGTACTCTGCCATCCGCTTCCCGGCCACCTCTGACAGCATCTCTTGGTATTTTTCCGTGTCGCTCCCAACACCAGCATTGGTCGTGCACTGCAGAAGTTCCAACTGAGGGCTCCCATGCCACCAGGTCGGATGAGGTTTCGAACTTGATTTCTGCCTCATCTGAGTTCTAGAGGGAAAACGTCAGCATATATGCATGTATGCCAGCACTCGGGACCAAACGAAGGCACTGACCGGTGGTTCCTCCCAGTCTGTCTTACAACGTTTTTCGAAACTATTCAATTCCACGATACGCGGTTTCCACCTTTCGCCGAAGCGCTTCCTCAATGTTTTTGAAGTAATCATGTTTTGTGCTTTCCGAACGGTGGTCGGCGAAACGAGAACACTGCTATGAAACAGGGCATCCTGCTTGATATCGTGGCTCTGGAGACGCGTTTCGGAATGAATGAAACGCTTAAAGTGCCAAGGGGCCTCCTTCCACGCGTTGTGCGGTTGGGACTTCCCCCAAGGTTCAGGACTACGTTGAGCACTTCGCTGAATAAATTCAAGATCCAGATTGATAAAATCGCAGACTTCTCCCTTCACGGTGCGTCAGGTCCTAATCAGATGCAGAAAACGTGCTAGCTCACAGCCATCCAGAACAGAGAAATGTCGGCAAGCTCGTGACGTTCGTATCCCCCGCCGACATCGGAGTGAGCGCCTGGGAACCACACCTGGCCGGTTTGAATAGACTGAAACATCCGGTACCACTCAGAACAAGTACGCGGCTTACTTGCTTGAACACCTGCTTGCCATCCATCCCTCGAGGTGCAAGACCGTGTTTCGGGACTGTCCACAGTTTTGGACGAAATTTGTCTCGATTCTCGTGCAGAGATAGTGCGTGAAGCGCGATATCGACTGATGCCGGCAAATCCGTATTCCTGGAGCGGGCAGCATTGCGGTCTTTTGGGACAGAACAGATGGTATCCCAGACTCCGACACATCTGTATGTCAGTTTCATGATTGAGTTATCGTGATACAGTACAGAAGAAGGGATTACTTGATCGGAGTCCAGCGGGTCCCTTCAGGAATAGTGGGTTCTTTTCCATCCAAAAGCTGCCGCCAGATGCTGAAAAAGTGACCGAGGTTCTCGAGACATAGGAGTCCAATCTGATCCTATTTCATAATAGATGGATAGATTGTATATCCGCAAAGATATCGACGTTTTGCAGTAGGTGGTGACTCACGATCAGGTCTGCTACCACTCGTGCGGTATATGCTACTCTATGATGACGGACATTCTGATAAACTAGCGTTTGCATGGTCGTGATTTACTGACCTCGAGAATCTACGTTTCAGGAATCAACAGACTGTTAATATCGATATGAGAAGTGCTTACCCAAAAATGCATATATCGTCTTTGGGCTCAAAGTTCTGTGCTATGAACGCATAGACATCCCCTATTTTGCTCGCTGAGCACCGCAGAGTACGATTAGTATACTCTCACCAGCAGGAATGGGAAGGATTAACCAACGGCGAGCCCGAACGCTTCTGTTATACAAATTCAATATTGCAATTAACAAGAGTTGGGCAGCGATGCACAGGATTCAAAAGGTGCATACGCTGCATTAGTGCCCCCATCCTTCCCAGCACGGGATTCCCTTGAAAGTCGGTCTCGCTTCCAACACCACTTTGGTAGAAAACAACTTGGTTGCGGCCATCGCTGTATTGTAAATTGGCTTGAAAATGATCCGGCAATGAAAATATGATGATGAATAATATACCTAGTAAACTGTTTGACTGCGCGCGCTGTCAACGAAAGTATCATAAGTCCCAAGGGTATGTTGCGATCATGGAAGTCTTGGACTTACAGAGGCGCAGAACGTTACTCACATGTCGTATTCCCGAGCCGACATCACCCTCTGGAATAAGCAAGAATCGGTCAGCATACAAGCTAAACTGTGGAACATCGGTACAATGTTTACCTGCGAGGTTCCCGTCCATCCCAGTTCCATCGCAAAACACTAGTAACACCTTAGACGACATGAGGATACGTGATACGAAAACAAACTATGAAGAACCCGAGATGACCAGCACCAGATGTTCTACGGCCTTTGGGAGAATGTGGACGATTACGAGGATTCCTTGTATATGTTTTCCCACAAATCATATACAACCCATCGCCGTACTGCTATGATGTGCAGCTGTAATGCGATACACGAGGTGATAATTTCCGATAAGCCTGCATCGCCGGCAGGAAACCATCCACCATGCATGCATCAGCTGAACAGTCAATGGGTGATTGTCACTGTGACGTACAACTTCTGCAGAGACGGCAGCACAAAAGAATCGAGCCCTGACTCCGGCAAGCGCTTCCAGGACGACGTATATGCCGCGCGTGACGAATATGGTAAAGTCAGTGATACAATGCGGTTAACATGCTGCGATGACAGTCGGTTCACGCACCAAATGCCTTCCACACTGTCTTGCCATCTTGGCCGAGCGGTTATCGATTAGGCCAACAGCAGCGACATTGGCTGCTGCACTTGACTCATGTTGGGAAGCACGCACCATGAGAACGCCAGGACAGAAAGCTGATATGAGAATGACAGGTCCCGAGCGCCGCAGCAGCAGGGAAGGTGGCTCAAGCCTCAACGTCTCCTGTCGGAAGCCATGGAAGATGGATCGCAGACACACGATTGCAACATTGTGCTTTCCTCCGTTCACTCGTTGCAAAGTCCAGTTCGCAGACGATCACTCGAATGACCAAGTCTAGGATTTGAATCTGTGGCTCTTCGGGACTGAAAATGAATGATGAAGAGTCAGCAGGGCTCTAATAGTACCGTTTTCGACAGAAAGCTCGCACAACGGCAACTTATACGAGGCCATCACGGAAGGCGTCAACTTTGCCGTGCTTACTCCGCCGAAGTGCGACTTCATGAACTGTGGCATGGTAGTCTAAGACTTCCGGACGCCTCATGGAGAAGATACACGCGGAGACATCGTTCATGCCCATTCATTGCCAAACGTTCTCCTGAGGGGATCCATCGAGTCGCATTCCACATGCTATGAGCCGCAAGTCCGAGCTCGGTGACGACGCCGAGACCGTTCTTCGTAAGACTATCGTCGTGTCAGCACATAGGCTATACTGATGCTACGACTCACGGTGACAACGCATCAATGTTACTCGTCGACGCTGCGACGCATCTTGACATCAACGGCCATCTATAATTTCGTATTTCTGGAATGGCCTTCTTGTAATATATAACAGTCGCCGACGGAGACCAGTAAGAATGTGAAAAGCGAGCAGTCTTCCCATGTGCGTTCGGAGAGAAAGGGGTGTTGTTGCAGATCAGCTGAGACGAGAAAAGCATATGGCGTGTCCGTCAACCACATACAATGTCCAATTCTGCCAGGCTGGTAATGGTGCAGTGGGGGAAGATACGAAAGATATCAACACGCTGCTAGATGGGATGAATCCTCACCTGCAAATCAAGATAGTGCTATTATTGCTATCAGCAGCTATATTGTCCCATATCGCACTACATAGTGAATTTTAGCCCAATCAAGACTGCAGATGCTCGACCTCAGGTGCACTGAGGTTCGCACATCTTAGTGATTCAAATCATGCCTTCCCGTACACTAATCAGATAATAAGATTCAAAGCACGTACGAGTGAACAATAACACAACGATACTGATGAAGCGCTTATACAGTGTCAATGGATGGTTACACAGGACGCACGCGGGAAGATAGTTCATGTATCCCGCGAGGGGTGAGATGGGGCATTGGACAGTTTCCTGATGTCTACAGTCTACGGTGACCTGGTGAGGGCTCTTGTAAGGGACCAGCTTGGCTTGCCAGTCACAATTGGAGCCGGAAGGTTAAAGACAGCGTAGCCTTAGCCAAACAAACCAGTGAAAGGCCAGCGGTATGAGAGCCAGTAAGCACGCAGAACTTTGCGAGCGGACAACGACTCTTGACCAGTGCACAGCGGAGGGGATACAGCCTGTATGAGTGACGATGCAATGCAAAACAATTAAGTTAAGAGTATGTATTAGAATTTGAAACCGCTGCCGCGCCAAGTTATTGCGGGCCGCCGATCTGATCAAGTCGAATGCACGTGACCACCTCTCCGATAATTGTGGCGATCCGTGCAAGGTCCATGCACTCTCTACCACCCTCCCCGTTCTGTATTCATCTCGCAAGTATGTCCAAGGTGGAAGAACGGCCAAATGTCAAAAGCTCGGATAGACCTGATGACGTTCACGACGATCCTGGCGGCGTGCAAGCTGAAGGACCGGCCGCATCAGCACCAGTCACACCTCATCCGATGCCAGAGCAACCCGACAAGGCCATCGAGAAGTTCGAACGTGTCAATGCCCACCTTGATCCTCCCTTCCCTCCTTCGGTGAGTACGCAGCCGACCCCGACCACAGAAGACCCTCCCATGGAGAGGCAGCTCAACGTCACCGATGCCTTGTCGTATTTGGATTCGGTCAAGACCAAGTTTCAGGAGAACCCGGAGGTGTATAACAGGTTCCTGGATATCATGAAGGACTTCAAGGCACAGCTGTACGTATGCTATGTAACCGATATCTTTGCATGCGTCTTCAATACTCTGAACACTACAGCATCGATACGCCCGGTGTCATCGAACGCGTGTCCAATCTCTTCCACGGGCATCCGAGTCTCATTCAAGGGTTCAACACTTTCCTTCCTGCAGGATATCGCATTGAATGTACTGACGATGCCTCTAACCCGAACACCATCACCGTGACGACACCGGCGGGCACGACGACTCAAGCCACTAACGGTGCGTTCACCTTCGGACCCGGCACCTCCAGACCACCGAGCTCCCAGCTGCCTCCTGGAGATGTCCAGCATGCCGAACCGTCCGTCAACCTTGAACCAGCGCTCGCATATCTGCAACGAGTCAAGTCGCGGTATGCGAACGAGCCGGAGAAGTATCGGCGCTTTCTGGAGATCCTGAAGGCTGGCCCAGTGCCCGGCCACAACGCAGGTGCCGGGGCGGCAATCACAGGTCATGATACACGCGCTCTGGAGGAGTGGGCGGTTGCGTTCTTGTCTGCGGGGTATGCGCAAGGCGAGGTCGCGCAGCGGATGGGAAGGTTGTTCCTAGATGCTCCGAGTCTGATGAAGGATTTCGTGGAGTTCCTGCCGGACAAACATCTGCGGGAGGCAGAGCTGACTCGACTAGCGGAAATACAGGAGCCGCGTAAGGCAGTGGCATCCGCAGGTGAGTCCAAATCCGCAAAGAAGAAGGCGGAGGGTGCCACTGGGGCCACAGGTTCAGGAACAACTGTTCCTCAGAAGAGGAAGCGAAAGCCGGCAGAACGCGAAAAAGAGAAGGATAAGGAAAAAGAGAGGGAGAAGGACATGTCAGCTAAGGCAGGTCCCAGCAAGGTGAGATGTCGCTCACGTTCGTGCTCTCTTAATGCTAATATATCACAGGTCAAGAAGGCGCGGCTGTCTCAAGCGCACGGGGCCGATGTATCTTCTCCTTCTCTTGGTCAACGTCACGCCGCCGTTCCGTTGTCTCCCCGACGCTCGGCGCATGCGCACCCGTCGACCCATGGCCATCAACACGGACGCCCACCATCGCTGCCTCCTCCAGCTCCTGTGGCGGCTGCTCCTCTGCCTCCTCCACCACTTAGTCCGATAGATGAGACGCAGTTCTTCGAGCGTGTCAAACGGATGCTGGATAACAGGGAGACATACAACGAGTTTTTGAAGCTTGTCAATTTATTCACTCAGGACGTCATCGACACCGCGCGACTGGTGCGCGATAGTCGACGGTTCCTCGGTGACACTGACGTGATGGTGCAGTTCATGGAGATTCTGGGGTGGGATGAGAGGAGAGATCGGATCGCCGTTGCGGATGATATCTGGACACGGCCCATGGTGGCCCTCGATAGGCCGAGCCGGGATCAACTCAGTATCCGCTATGGTAGTTATAGGAAGTTGCCTCCACAGGTGAACTCCGCAACCTCTACAGGCTTCGTGAACATTTGCTGACCTTGAAGCGATCGATAGGAAGCAAACGTATCGTGCTCAGGCAGGGATGAAATGTGCAGATCTGTGCTCAACGATGAGTGGATAGCTCAGCCTACGTTTGCGAGCGAAGACGGTGGCTTCCACGTTCATATGAAAAATCCATACGAAGAAGCCCTCCTCCGGAGCGAGGAGGAGCGACACGAGTACGACTTCCATATTGAAGCTATACATCGCACCATTCAGATGCTCGAGCCGCTCAACAACAAGATCCTCCAGCTCAGCATGGAGGAGCGCAATAACTTCAAGCTGAAGCCGAATCTGGGCGGCGCGGGGAAGAGTGTGCACCTGCGCGTGCTGAAGAAAATCTACGGACGCGATGCTGGTTACGATGTCTTCCAGGCTATGCAAGAAGTGCCTGCGCTCTCCATCCCGATTGTGCTCGCGCGGCTGAAGGTTAAGCATGACGAGTGGAAACGTGCACAGCGGGAGTGGAACAAGGTCTGGCGTGAGGTCGATGCGCGAAACTACCACAAGTCACTCGACCACCAAGGCGTGACGTTTAGGGTGGCAGATAAGAAGGCGCTGACTGCTAAGGCATTTTTAAATCAGATTGAAGCAGCGAAAACTGAGCAGATGGCGACGAAAGCCTCATACATCGATCCGTTGTTTGCTCGGGCACGGCCTGCTCACCAGTTGGAGTTCGTAATAGACGACATGGATGTGGTGCAGGACGCTCTCAAGCTGACGTTCTCCTTCTTGGATCGCACCCAAGACCAAATCGCTCTGTCCAACAGGAAGAAGATCGAGACCTTCCTGCGCGCGTTTGTGCCGCTATTTTTTGCGCAAGACCAGGCAGCGTTCAACAGTGCATTCGTGCCCCATCAGGAAACTCTCGATAGCGACATGGAGGTGGACAGCATCGCCGATGATGCTGATGCTATCTCTGTTGGCTCCCGGCCCGGGAAGAATGGTCGAAAGGCGGGCAGCACGGGGTTCTCTGGTGACTTGCGGAAGCGGTTGCTGAAGAGCGAGCAAGCGAAGTCTAGTCGGCGGACAAGAACACAGGATGCTGCGTCACCATCTACATCCCGACCGACATCGCCTGCGATATCTGACGTGATGCAAATCGATGGCATCGAACTAGGCACAAATACGGAGCCAATAGCCGGTCCATCAAATACAGGTGCTATTTCGCAGGCCCCTGCACGGCGACAGTATACGTTCTTCACAAACGCGAACTTCTATGTTTTCTTCCGTTTGTTCGAGGTCAGTTTCATGTTTCTTACCGGACGACGCTAGATTGATAGCGGATTCGCAGACACTCTACTCCCGTCTGCATCGTTTCAAGGTACTTGCGCAAAAGTTGGCAAGTGAACCGGTACCGCCTCATAAGCCAAACCCGACGGCAGTCGACCTCGGTATCCTCAACGACTTTAGCCTGTATAACAGACAGCCAAATCCGGCCCATTTCTATGTTATCATGCTGGGAGCTTGCGAGAAGCTGTTTGACAATGAGATCGAGCAGCAGGTGTTTGAGGACCAGCTCCGCATGATGTTTGGTCCGCGGGTGCGTATGCTGCTTTTAGTATGGCAGGGATGCTAACGGTTGGGACAGGACGCATACAAACTTTTCACCATCGATAGAGTTGTCGGCTCCGTGATCAAGCAGGTAATAAGCAGTGAATATGACGACAGGCACGATGTTGACTGTCCGGCTAGGTGCAAAATATATTGCTTGATGCCAGAAGCCAAGACCTGTATGATATCCTGCGCAAGGAGCGCGAAATGGCTTCAGTCTTGACGCACGACCTGAATGGTCTCCGACTTGAAACGGAGGAGGTTATCGGTTCAGATGAAAGCCTTTACAGAATGGATTGGGTGCGTGCAGTGATTGAGTTGTTTTCGCTCGAATGTCTGTGCCCTGACAGCACAATGTAGTTTCCAGAGAAGAGGACCGTAACCATACAACTGCTCGGCAAAGATGATCCCAATCCCGAGGATCCCGAGCTGGTCAATGGGAGATGGCAAGCGTATGTCGAATCCTACGTAGCGGTAAGTATGCGAGCACTGGCGAATATGTCATCCCTCATGGACCCGTTTAGGATGATGAAACGCGGGATATTATCATGCCTTCGTCCAGGAGACCATACCTACAGCGGTGAGTTCCAATGACATATATGAGTCGGCTTTGTCTGAAATCGGCAGATATTACCACAGCACAATCTCTTCGTCTCCTGCACCCGAGGAGCCCGATATTATCGTTGACGGTGGACTGAAGATCAAGGTTTGCGTGAGAACGTATCGGCTATTCTACATGTCGCATTCAGAAGACTTCCTATGCCGCGTCCGCTCCGCAGGCGAACGGGAGCTCCTGCAGAAACGACTACGGGTCCAGGATGCCAGAAGACTGGCGTGGTTGGAAAAGTTCGCGGCAAGGGATGACCAGGGCAGCAGCTCTGCTAAGGATGCAGCAACTCCATCTGAAGCAACTCCTCCTCCCGATTCGACACGGGAAGGGACATCTTCTGCAACGGAGAAAGACGACGACAGACCGCCTCAAACGCAACAACCGAAGTCTACAACCTCTGGAGGATCCGAAGAAGTTGTCCATAACGGCACATGACAGTTGTATACCATTAGCCACTTCTATCCTGCTCCTATCACGTCGTTGTCCCTATCATGCTGACTGCCGTCGTTGTGTCGTTCACTTCATCCTTGTATGTTATATTGCTTTGGGTAGATACATGTTAATGGCAGGTACTGCCACCTTCTCAGTGCTCGGATTCGTGTCGGTCTGGCTCTCAGAGTACCTAGCCTCGCGATATTCCAGACATATCGACATTCTCGAGTCAGTCCAATATCAAGGGGGTGGCCTATCACATTTCAACTCGACCATTGGCCGGCAGCCTGAACCGTCTTCTTCCCAGTTATATGAAAGTTTATCGAGGCGATCAACAGCTTTCTCAACAAAAACGAGCTTTCAAGGCTTCTTACCATCTTTTCATTGAACATCTCATTCAAAAGCAAAAAACGCGAACTTCGTAACTTTATCTACTTACAAGAAGCCCATCCTGGACTATAGTAGCTTTGTGTGATCATCAGCAAAAGTGCAAAAAGATTAATAAAGGGATTATCAGCCCTTATAACCGCTGGTTTTCTTGTTTGCCCATGACAACATGACTCAAGCAAGCGGGCAGAGGAGCGAGTCAAGCTGAGCGCGAGAGCACACTAACTTGCCATCCAACTACGATAGCTCAGCACGGAGTGTGCTGACAGATATCATAAACATGGGTAGTTGAAAGAGACATGTACATATTACGCGACTCGCGCGAGATGATGTACAGCGAACAAGTCGTGGAAAACAGCTCACTGGCGTTCTGACAGCATTCTGCGGTAGGCACGAAACGCGATCTGCCCTGTTGTACCAGGACAATATTGCCGTCCTCGTACCAGAATTCGCCGTCCCGGGTGAGCACTGAGACCTGGGCCGGTGCTGTTGATGGATGTTCAGGTTCAGCAGCCTCAATACGCGGGCGCTTTTCTGAGGAACCAGGAGTTGCAGAGGTCTGCTTAGTAGCTAGGAACGAATCGAACTTAAAGAGGCCAGCTCAGTGACCGGTGGCTATGAGAATAGACGTACATTCCAAATGCTGAGAGCAGCGGATTTAAAGTATCAAGGTCCAAAGCAAATAGTTTCATAGCGTACGCGCCATAAGCAACGTGATGCAGCTGTTGGAGAACACCAACCGCCATGCGCAGATGTATACAGCCCGAACGGGTAGACAACTATGCCTGGCAAAATTGAGTTGAAGAACGAATGCGATAAAGTACAGAAGTATTCAAGAGCGGCGGGCCATAATCATCGGACTTCAGCTGAGAAGAAAGCGAAACTGGTCGACGAGATCGCGTAAGAACAAATCCCCCTTATATATAGCCACTCTTTGCTCACCTGCAACACGCCTGCGTCGTCTTCAATTACAAATACCCAACGACGTTTTCTTCGGCGCAGGCGGGTCCTCCACTCCCATATATTGAGGCAGCTTCATCCATACCCTCTGCTGCGCCAAGAACAACCTCCCTCGGACCATGAGATTGCAGTTCTCGCAAAGGTCGTTGATTTCCCGTTTTCTTATCCATTGTTCCCAAGAATCAAACACCCCACAATGGTCGAGTCGACTGTCGAAGCCACCGGCAATCCACACGCCATTGTTGGTGCACTCGAGACAATCCATGCAGATTTCGCGGTTCTCGCACTTATAGCTGACGTCTCGGCGCGAAATCTGCATGCCCATGAGGACGTTGCAGTGCAGGAGATGCCGCCGCCCTTCCACGCACCGCGCTACGTCGTCTGGGTGGAGCTGCTCGGTGGTGCCGTCTGCGCGGGCAACGCCGTGGACGAGGTACTTCGTGTCGAGCTGACAGCAAAGGTATAATGCGAGGGGTAGCATGCTGTCCATGTTCATGAGGCGCGCGAGATTCACGGCTTCAATCGCGTCCGCGATCTCGAAGCTCATGACGGAGCTGCCCCGTATCCGGCATACTTCGAGCCATGTCTTGAGGTCGTCGCAGAAACACGTTTTGATTCGTTTCACGGCCTCTTTCCGTATCCGTTCCATCTGGTACTTTTGACTCAAACGAGCCAAGGCAGCCACGACCCGGAAAGGTAGTCGCTCGTTTGGCCTGTACCATCTGCGATGTCCATGTCCATAAGCGCATAACAAGCGAGAGCACAAAGCGACGTACTCTCCGCCATGGAAGATCACGCGGAGGAGATGGCGCAGGTCTTCTGAGCTGTCGCACAAATGCACGACCGGACAGCCGTCGATGCTTTCTTCGTCCTCTGGAAGTGGCACGGTGAACATGTCGCGAAAAACGTCAGAATGGTGGGCTAGCAGGCCCTTGTATACGCGGAACGCTACTCCAGAGGCAACCAGGACGATGCTGCCATCAATGAACCAGAACTCCTTGTCGCGCAATACATCTGGACTGTCGACCGATGAACAGTTCCTTCCCTTGGAGCGAACACGCTTTTCGGGCACATCGAGAACAAAGTCGTACGCCATAGCTGGATCGCAGTGAGATGGAAACGAGGGGAGTGCAACGTCGAGCACGACGGCGACATCTTGCCAATCTCTTATGGTGAGGCCTGCGAATGGTTTATTGTGTTTCCTATGAGCTCGCTATTGTGATGCCTGTGAACGCTAATTGTGAGGAAGGGAAAATACCATTGGCCAAAAGACGGATAGGTGTCACGTGATTCCCGCGGGTGCTGGATGCCAGCTGAGAGCACCGAGTCTGAACTCTGGGTTCCTCTTCACTGCCGCCAACACTCCAGAAAAGCCAGGAAGCGATGCGACAACTTGTAAGGGGATGCTTGTAAGGAAGAACATCGATTTTTTTGGCAAATCAAGACCTAAAGGGATTGGACTGGCGAGTATCGACGATTTATGGAGCACCGAACCTTCGCATCTGAGCTGCTTGGAAGACCTGGAGCTATCTTGCGGCCTCGTGGATTGCTGACCCGAGCTGGGAAGGTGGAGAGCTCTTCTTACGTACTTATAGGCGACCGCAGTGCGACAGCGCCTCGACGTCGCGATCCGACCGGACCTCGTGGACAAAGTATGTCTCCGGCTGTGCTCAATCCCTCTTTGATTATTTCTCAGGTCTCCAACTTTCCTCCCGTCCTGGCGCGGCTTTTCGTTGAACTCTGCACAACATGAGCTTTTTAAAAAGATGGCGTAAGGCCAGCGGCGTATCTGTGAATCTTCCGATGGCTTCCTGTCGCGTCAGCGCTCTGTTCAGTTCTTCATGGCTCGATGGGCAAGACGCTGACCACGAACATATCGTGAGGCCATGACGGGATCATTTTTGATTGACGGTCGTGGCACGTTTTTCGCATGCTCACTCGGATAAGGCACAGGGCATAGCATAGAGCTTTTCTTTTGAATAAGAGCAGTTTTTTGGATAAGAGCTGAGAGAGAACGCGCCTCTTCTGCCATCCGACAGCAGCTACTGTCGAGCCAGCAAGCGGCGCTGCCTGAACATCTTCTAAATCTATGTGAGTGAATTTCGTGCCGGGAGACGCCTCATCTGTTTGCTGAGGCCGACGTTTGCTGTAGCACAACCTGCTTTCCCGGCACAGGCATGGATCAACTGTCCACGCCGCGTCTGCCGCTCGAGATGTGCGACCACATACTCGACTACCTATGGGACGACCACAAGACTCTCAGGAGCTGCAGCCACGTCACAAGGGAGTGGCTTCCCACGACCCGAATGCATCTCTTCCATCACGTCCGCATCAACAGTGGCTCTCAGTTCTGCCGCTTCGAGAGCACGATCCTGCACTCGAGAGACGTTGCGCTCTGCGTCCGCAAGCTCGACTTGCAGGGCCCCTTTGACGATATTGACCATGCTGACCTGCCTCAAGCGCTGGAGGCGCTAGGCAGAGTAGAGGAGCTCACCATACGATGCCAGACGCTCGATGCACCAAACGATGTCCATCGAAAGCCGTGGCCGACCATGTCAATGCTAAAGGTTCTGTGCTTACATTCCTGCCCGATGGAGCGCTTGAGCCTTCAGCAGCTCATCTGCGTGTGCCCTTCGCTCTCTTCTCTGAAGCTCACCGGATCACCGTGGTTCAAGCAGTGCGATGAGTCGCCCTACCTATACCGCGCCGTTCAGCGACCGGTCTCGTTAGAGACCTTTCACTGCGACATTCTCTTTCCAGAGATGACGAGTTGGGTGTTCCAGGACGGAGTGAAGCTGCGCATGCGTCGACTTGCCGCGTCCTGTACGCCATCTTCGGCATTCTCTCTTTCGACGGGCTACATCCATGACCTGGTAGAGGCAACCGGTCAACGCCTGGAACACCTCGTCATCACCATGCGAGATCGATACAGCCCCATTCCTCTAGGTAACCAGCAGTCCCGTGCCGCGCTAGTGCACAATCCCAACCTCGTCTCCCTCCATGTACTCGATGTCTCATGTCCCGTGTCGTACTCTTGGGACAGCTTGAAGTCGATTCTCGACGACGTTCAACCCGTGCATGCCAAGCTTCGGTCGATCGACATCTCACTCAAGCCGATGAACGAATTCGCTGCCACACGTACCCGCTGGGGAGAGCTCGACGCGGCGTTGGCGCGGGTGATGGAGTTTCGTCCTCAGCTGGTCGTTACGTTCTGGGTGGTCAACGATCTCCGCAAACCACAGGCGTGGTTACCGACTTTCGTGGAATCCCTTCTGCAGGAGTTGCCGCGGGTGCAGGCTCAGCGCGGGAGACTGGTTTTGATGTGGATGAATGGTCTTGCTGAAGTGCAAGAGTTCGGCTGTGGTCTGATGCAGCCCTCTTGGTCCTTATGTTGAGGCAAGGGTTCACCTATCCGACCACCGTCAGTTGCTGCTATCTCCTGGGTGGGTCGTTCTCAGGACCTTCCACGCACTCAACTGGGCTCGTTCCTTCGACCGTTTATTCTGATATAAAAACGATGGCCTAGAAACATATTGGCGGACGTTGGCACCGGTTAGATGATGCACCATGATATCTACATAAAAGAGAATTCTGGGTTGCTGCGTGATGAACCTACGACGAAGTAGATACACAAATTTGAAGCAACAATTAATTTCGATCCATCGCTCCAATTGCAAGCATGCTCGTGTGACGAGGGACAGCGACTCATTCGTGACGTTGTTCTTTTTTAAGGTAAATCAGGTTTGGGATTTTACACTCGAGAAGCGCCGGCTGTCGCCGGCAGCGACCTTGCGACTGAAGGTGATGAGTGAAAATGAGGCAGTTTCACCTATTCCATGCTTTACAAGCCACACCAGTTATATTCATTGGTCTGTACATATGTCATGCTCAACTGAAATCTTGATCAGATGTTGTGGATTTTCAGTTTGAGCAGTTCGTTCTAGTTACCTTTCATTTTATCTATCGAGGAAATCAAGTACATTCAAGGTTTTCATTGATGGTTGTGCTCCGAATTCAATTGAAGACATCTTATGTGCCTTAATATAAGTACAAATATTGTGGGCAGTCACACTACTACCCATACTGTCCATTGTGTGACTAGAATTACATATGTGATTCTCTGTTTAGCACTTATACAACTGGTTCTTTCTCATTTGGTATCGTAACAAACGTTTCATCCATGGATCCGTCAGCTTCAGTTTGTTGCCGGGATGTAGTCGATATGGAGTAAGTGCATGTCTCGAAACTTCCAATGGTTTTTGATTTATCCGCAATTGATGACATGGTGGTGTCTGTTCAATTTTTATGCTGATATCTTTTTTCTTTAGTTTAGAAACCGATGTCCATGTGCCTAATCTTGGAATGGTGTCTTCTGGCTTTATCCTTCTAGTGGGATATGATGCTCATGGTATCTCTACCCAGAAATCTGATCTCCCACCTGAGTGCCCTGATTTGTGCTTCGAGAAAAGCAACTTCGTTTGCATGCTGCCTTTCTCTTTCCTTGTTTGTTTTGATGAGATCGTCAATCCATTTGGCTGCATGTGATTTTCTGTGTTCAGCTGCCTCTGCTCTAAGTCTTTCAATATGGTATCTTCCCTGCCAATAGTCCTGGAGGGTCCATTCATCAAGACTTTGATAGATATAGCTCCTGTCTTCCTTTTTCAATCTTTCATAATTTCAAAACTTTTGATCATCCAGTTTCCACTTAGTCCAGCCTCAGCTCCATCCTGTTGCCATGTGACGTGTCTCCTCGATTGATTTCTGATCAATTTGATCACAGTCAACGTGTTTTCTGTCATTTGTGTCATCAGCCTCAACAATTGGCCATCCTCTGATTTTAGGTGTGGCCGTGGTGAATTTGACAGAGGATTTCATACTAGGTTGTGATCCTTCAAATGATCCCTCACTTTCAGAATCTGATTTTGTTTGAGATTTTGTTGAGCATGTTTATTCCATATTAATTGTCATTTCTTTTGTTGTTGTTATTTTTTTCGCTGTAGGTGTGGATCATGAACTCTTGTTTCTTAGGTCTTCTGTGAAGTTCTAATTCCTACTATTCTTCGTCAGCCACGTCGAGGCCTGTTCATTGTCACCGCTTCACTTGCAGCGGTTTGCAGATTCTGAGTTCTCTGCAACTCCTTTATAACAGATAGATATGAATGTTGTATCTAGGCTCTGCACGAGCTTTTCTTGCAGTTAGCACAGGCTCCTGGTGGTCTTTGATTATTTCACCACTGGTAGCAATGACTGTGAAGGGGTTTGACCCTACTAGACACTCACTGAAGGGCAATCCAGTAACCGTTCAAGTAATCACCCACAGGCATGTAACTAAGTATAGTAGAGACCTAAAATATTCACTTCAAGTGGTCTCGAAGACCCAGTAGTGACCACATGGGATTTAACCTCCTTGCTCGCAGGCAGCCAAGAGCCCAGCTTTATGACGGTCCTCCTGAATTCAATGGTTTCCAAATTGATTAAACTGTGGGTAGGCCAATAGAATGTCCTGATCAATATGATAGTGTTGTGATGTTGGCATGTCGTATAGCTGATCAGTTGAGATCGAAAGAGTGGAAAGCAGTGAGAGGAGGTTCAACGGAAAGATTCAGGGAGTAAGCTGAAACAAGCCCAAATTCTGACTCAGCGTGAGCAATCACATGTATACAGACTCGGTGGCTGAGACATAATATAGGCTAAAGTCTGGCCTTTAACAATGAGGTGCAGCTATAAGTGTGATAAATAATAGGATGTTCTATCATTGATGTGACATGGTAAAATTTCAGGTGGAGCATACAATTTTGAAACTGTGAAATATGGAAGTCGAGAGCATTGTCATCAGCCACAGTTCATGGTCATTAATAGGCAGCGTTCATTATGCTGCGCTGTCTTTTTCATAGCATCTTTCTATCGTGATCATTAATGTCACTATTTCAGGTATAGACAATAGCATGTTCGAAAGGTAAGTTGTATAGCTACTATTTTGTGATTGTGGTTGACAGACTTTTCTGTTTGTTCAGCGACAGCGACACATGGGAAGTTGAGAACATGAGGGTCATTAATAAGGTATTGGCAATAATGCATATTCTATCTGTTGAGGAACAAGAAGCTATTGGAAGGTGAGTGACTGGTCATGCAAGGATAGTGAGTTATTGAAATGACGTTCAATTTCTGTGTGACAGCATCGTAAAAATGCTGTTCAGTTGAACGGACATTCAATTGTCATATTATAGTGCAACCACAGTGCCGGCTGATGCATGATGGAGACGTCTGTCTTCTAATGTGTCTCTAATGATGTCACTGTCATATTCGGTCAAAATTATTCTAGTTGGGCTCACTTCGAAGATATCACCACCGATGCCTAGTGAACTTGCAGAGATAATGATTGAGGTTATTTGAATGGTCGATCGCATGGCAATGGCACATATGCTATCTGTTTTCCCTGAAGGTAGGCTTTTGGAGTTCACGTTGAGTTATGTTTGAGCACTGAGAAGTTGTAGAGGTGAAGAAGGTTACTGTCGTTGCACTGGAACTGTTCAACAATGTCTACGATGCCCGTGTATTTGTACAATTTTCACAGATTTCATTGCCCAAATATCGGCGTGAGCTGCTAAAGAAATCTGATGTAGTTGCTATACAATTTACCCTGCAGGATGCTATGGGCATAGTTGTTGATGCACTTCAATTGCTTTCTCTGGAATGTGTAGGGGTTGTATACATTGTACTGTAAAGTTTTGTTATAACATTCATTCATCGTGTGCATTACAATTACAGCTGCCAAAATCGAAAAAATGAAGAGTGTACTGGAACCAAAAAAGCACAGACGATAGCAAAAAGCAGAACGTAACATCACATCATACAATAAGTGAACATGTGTGTAGATGCATGTACAATGAAAATGTAGAGTGGTTGAGGAAAGCAACACGGTGTACAATTGCAGGCTAATAATACATTTGATGGCAGCACATGAAAGTCACATTGAGCGGTCTCAAAAGGATACTATGTGTTAGCATGATGAAGTGAGTTAAAGGATGTCGCTTACCATTTGCCAGGAATGAGTTTTTTATTTGGGCTATGCACGGGACCATCCTCAGCATGGCGTTTGAGGGGAGGGGTGATGAGACTAATGGGCTGGTCAATAATATTCAACTTGACAATGTCTGAGCTGAAGGAGATTGAGTTGTTGACTTTCCATCTAGAGATGGTGATGACAGCTTTTATGAGGGCACTTTTCAATAATTCTTCATATTTGTCAGGTTTGATGAGATGATCATGTCTGTCGTATGTGGGAAGCAGTCGGGGTCACCATGTACCAAGCTGAGATAGCTTATCCCTCACTGTAAGGGCATCAGCATTAGCGCACGGCCAGTTATCAATGTTAAACTCTGTAAGTACTAGATTAATGTCATATTATGATGTGAACAACATGGATGCCACCTTGGTCGAACTGCCGTTCATCTTTTTGATCAACGCGCTATGAGGACAGTTCCTTTTTTAGTTAAATTGTGATAACGCATGATGAGGGACGAACCTCGAATATTTTGTCAAATTTTGATGTGATCTTCGGCGTCGAGTATATGGTCAGTGACCATTGAGCATTTTTTTCTTCTTTCAATTGTCTTTCTATGGTGCGAAGTGTATCGCATGCCTTCGTATGACACGTCGTAATTTGATCGATAGTAGGGGGGATGAGACAGGCAGAGGCTGAATGATACTCAAATTCTCTATTGTTCTCTCTCAGTCTGGAGCTCCAATTACCACACGGTTGGAGCCAGAATGAACGACCATTAATGATACCAACAAATTAAAAAACAGCAGCTTCATTTTCACCTTTATGAACTAGTACGCCGCGACCGTCCACGTCTTCTACCCAACAAATGTTAGTCATCTTTGTGATGTTGGGGTTCTTCAGGAAAGCCAGGTTCATATCAGCTGTCACGGCTAAGCTTTGTCAAACATGATATGATGTCCGTGGGTGCTTCACACACGACCCGCTCACAGATGACCTTTATACTGAGTGCCTTGTAAGGCCCCAGGGTCCCACTTGGAGCGGTGACTCAAGATTCAACATAAAAGGGTGGTGAGCCCCCTATCAGCCAATGGTAGGCTAAGGACAAGTGAGTGGCGATAGGCCTCACTGTCGAGCTGACTCAGGGATGAAGGGTTGTGACAAGCCACGATGGATGTGAGAAATAGATGAATAAGACTGAGGGCTACCTCAGTCACATAGGGCATATATATACATGTGGGGCTGGACCCCGATCACTCTAACTATGTGTACCTACTGGGGTCCTAGCAAGCCACATGTGCATATTATATAATGTGCTACAGCCAATAGCAATGTACCTACTAGTAAATACTACGTAGTCATTGGTGGGCCGTAGACTTATAGATAAGGTCATGGTCTATGCGGCATTCTGTCGGGGTGCCGTCTTGGCCATGAGGTATAAGGCCGACCTCCTTACCAATCCAGACCTCGGTGTCCCGTGCTTATGCCCGATCCTATTGAGCGACTATCAGGATGTCATGTGCTTGGGCATCTCTTCAGGTCACATGTCAGGGGTGCTTGATAGGGCACTACCTTGTGGATCACGTGATGTGGTGATTGACGTCTACAATCGATAAGATCCTTGAGCGCTTAGCTGGTTATCAATGATGTCGTGTGGCTTTTGTGGCTGGCTTTGGTGACGCTGCTTGAGTCCTGTTATAGTAGAGCCTTCTGAATAGGGAAGTGCTAATATACTGTGACATCAGCATCACTGAGAAGTGATTGTATGACACCTTGTAGTGTAGTGACAAAAGGTGTGGATGAGGAGAAGGTAGAAATGGAAGTTGCAGCAGGTGATGTTGCATGTAGAGGACTGGAATGACGAGAAGATATGGTCGAAGAAGAATTTGTGTCAGGCATGATAAAGAGAAACACAGTCAAGGAGGATTTAGTAAAGTGGGCTGCGGTGATGTCAATTTTCTCCAACGATATAAATATAACAACTTTTCTGACATTATGAAATAAAGAAGGACAGTACAAGCTACGCCGCCGTCGGAGTCTGTTGGTGGTGTCAGCAGATGACAAGAATGATTACAAAAAATGATGACACATAGAATGACCAATTAATGGCCATGTGAATTTTCAGCGTGATCATAGAGTGGTCGAGGAAGGGTGCTAAATGGGCTGGATGCAGGGATCAGGGAATGTAGGGTGGTGAATGATGCAAATGCCGGGGAGGCTAGGTAGAAGTAGAAGTATTAGAAAGTGACAAGTTTACATGGAAGCTACAGGAAGGGTGCTAGATGGGCTGGATGCAGAAATCGGGGAATGTAAGGTGGTGAATGACACAAATGTCAGGGAGGCTAGGTAGAAGTAGAAGTATTAGAAAGTGACAAGTTTACATGGAAGCTATACAAATAGTGCTTACAGTATGACATCTCCATATGCTAGCTTGACCGTCGAGGAGATATGTGTGATCGTCGAGCTGATTGAGCACATCTCTCAATGTCAGCAATGTGACAAGCAATCATTGTTAATTCAACTGAAGAGGTTTCCTTCAGATTTGCAGGCTGCATTGCATGAAGCTGTCATTCGCAAGACTGAATTAAAATGCATCGCCCATCGGGATTACGTACATGCATATTGGAAAAGGGAATGGGAGTGGCGAGATGGTCGACAACATGCAAATAGAAGCACAGTGCAGACAGAAGACAGCAGTGCGAGTGAAAGGCATGCAGAAGAAAGCACGTTTCTATCATTGCTGACAGAAGAAGAATGCAGAGAATGCCACAGGCAGTTCATGGATTCGATTTCGAGCAAAGCACTGAGGTTGACGATATGCGGTGTATGTGGTCGATGGGGGCTGCAGTCATTATTAGATACTCAGCCAGTTTCCGTGAGTCAAATACCAAATTATGACTGCCTCATTTCGCAGACCATCGAACCATTCCATGACATGGTGGATGGCATTGTGCTTGCACGAGAAGCAATTCGTGACATAGAGGAAGAAAAGATCATGGACATCTGTGCTGAATGCATGTCAAATTTGAACAACGAACGCAGGGATGGTCAAATTGCAAGGTGGTCTTTAGTGAACAATCTGTGGTTAGGAAGCATTCCCTGAAAGCTCGCAAAGCTTACCTTGCCCAAAAAGCAGCTCATTGCATTACTCTATCCTCAGGTGTTCACCGTGAAGTTGTATCTAAAGGACCCATTGACCGCGATAAAGGAGGATTCCTTACAAACAGCTTTGAATGGTAACATTACTATGTTCACCCTCAAAAATCTGAAGATCATGGAGATGTTAGCCAGAAATCTGATGCCGCGACCACCTGCAATCTTAGCTCATTTGATATCCATTACTTTCATTGGGAAAGGATGGTTACGGAGACATCATCTTCACAAGACATATTGAGTCAGATGAGCGGCAGTGGCAGATGCTCTTCGATGGCTGAAAGCCCATAACTGCTATTATAAAGACATTGAAATAGACATTTTGTGCATTCAATGTCTCTCCGAAGATGATGTTCCTGAAGAATTGCTTGCCGTTACATGTCAAAACGAAGATGTCAGTATATTACAGGCTGAGAATGACAACTATGTACCTTTGTACATCAACATGGACACAAACAATCATCATGTTGCAGATGGTTAGCCATTTATGCACAAATGTCATGTTATGTAAACACTGATGAATATTTGCATCAATTCAGATAGCGGTGGAGATGTTTTACCACTCCAGTTTGTAACCAGCGCTGATATGGATTCAATTGGCCAGTCCATGGATGAATTAATGATGTGAGGGCTTGAAAATACATGGCAAAATGAACACAATGGATGTTATTTGGTGCAGCATAGCCAACATCCAGTGCAAGATTTTGGCTATCCTCTGCAGCGAGATGTGAACGATTCGAATCAACATGAACATAATCTGTTCAAGAAAGCATTTCCCACCTTGTTTCCATATGGTGTTGGTGGCATTGAAGCTGATCGACTGGTCCATGTATCTTTCATTGAACATGTTTGATGGTGTTTGCAGTTCCATGATGGACATTTTTGTCGACATCATTCATTCCCTTTTCTGGTGTTTGGTATCGAACAAAGGAGACAGGCTCTTACATCTGCAAAAATCCAAATCAATCAGCATGGCTTCGAAGCAGACACGCAGATTTTGACACATATCACTGTAGATGATCTTCGTCAAGCAGCAAGAGAAGAGGCTGCAAAGAGGTCTATAAGTAACAGGGCCATGCATTTGCTGAAGACATATATTCATGCTGTGGGTGGATGGGTTATAGGATCTGATCAAGCACGTTATCAGCCCAGATCGAAGATATGGTCTACATCCATTTACCTGTCACCACCAACCCTGTGGATGACAATTAATTCTGATGACTTACATGATCCTATCGTCCAGATTTTCGCTGGAGAGCGCATTGATATGGAAAACTTATCTGCAACTCTAGGACCAGATGCAAAACGATGTGCGAGCAATGTTGCACATGATCTTATGGCTGCTGCACAATTTTTCAAGTATCTTGTCAATGCAATTGTAGAGAAGTTGTTTCAAATAAGAGTTACGAACCATGGAAAATGAGTTGAAAGCAAAATTGGGGTTATTGATCGTGTGAGCAGTTATTTTGGAGTGGTAGAAAGCCAAGGTCATGGAACTCTCCATCTTCATATGTTTGTATGGCTTCACGATGCACCGTCAGCAGATGAAATGATCAACGCTTTCAGTCAAGAAGACTTCTGAGAGAAAGTGCGCACGTACATTGCAAACACAATCCATGCTCATGTAGATGGACTGGATAATGAGTCGTCTATTAGATCATGTGCACCGGAACCTCAAATTGCATACGGAAGGCCACCAGATCCTAGCTGGGGGAGCTACAAAAAAGATTTCATTAGATTGGAGAAGAGGGTAGCACGATCAAAGCAGGTTCATAAATGCGAAGCGAATCACTGCCTGATGAAGTACAGAGGGTGCAAGCGAGGCACCCCCCTGGGCTCTGTTCAATGTCAATTGGGTAGATGAAGCTAGAAGATGGGGACCAAAGCATACGTTTGGGTATTTCAACTCATGGCAACCAGACATATCAGTTGCAGTATGCTGTAACAATGACATCAAACTCCTTATGAATGGCAGAGACACAGACAACATTACCTTCTATGAAACCAACTATACGAGCAAGAAACAGGGGCGAAGCTATAATATGTCAGCACTGTTTGCGAATTCACCAGCTTTCCAATTAGAAGACAATCCGTATCTGCAAGACATCAGAAAGCATAATCAAATGATGTTGTTCCAGTATATACATGTATTGAACAGAGAATAAGAAGTTGCAGCACCGATGGTCATAATGCTTCTGATGGAGTGGGGATTCGTATTCAGCTCGCATCAGTACGAGACCATTTATTGATCAACTTTTGTGCAATATCTATTGAAGAATGACAGCAGTTTACGGTCAACGAATAAGTGAGTTAATTCAATGAACCATCAAGCACAAAGTGATAACTGAGTGTAAATATATACAGCATGTCTGTTCATCCACCACAATCAAACGATAGTGGTGAATCCATTGACAATCATGTTGACATACATCATTAAAAAGTACATTCACATGTTCGCATTGACAAATTGTTCATAGCAAGATGATGACAAAAATGTCAGTATTAGTTTCGATGATCAACATTGTTTGAATATGCGAAGCCAGGTTGTCGATTATCAATTTCGAGTAAATGAGCTTGAGACACACAACGTGTTAGAATTTTTCATGAACACCTATGAAGAGAAGTTAACAAGCAGAAGCGAGCATGCACTCAATAATGAGAGGGAGGAAAGAGGACATATTTTCAACATGTGATCACGATATTGGTCCGGGCATCCATTTCACAACAATGAGTCCGAATATTGTGAACTGAAGGGCATAACACCCTACTCAACTTCATCGAAAATATTTTTCATGTTGAGATTTGATGGATCTCCATGTCAGAGCATTTTATTGTGCATCCATGTTACTGCTTTTGAAGCCATGGCAACAGTTACAAGGTCTCTGAGAGCACGAACAAACATGGAAAAATACATATGAACAGTTTCTGCGTGGCACGTCAGATGGTATCTGAAGAATTATTTTAAATATACAACATTTTCACCAATGCGAAGTGAGTGCATTAGAGCATGCAGAGAGGAAAAATGACACCGGTCATGCGGTACCATCCCCAGATAAGGAAAGCGAAGTCGATGTGAATTTTCATGATGAAGTCAATGCTGGTGACAATAGGGTGAACATGTCCGAACATGATGATGAAATGCTCATAGTGGAGTTAACGGATGCTTTGGAAGTGATCTGGGAACATTTGCATGGGCTCCTAGTGGTAGAAATGGGACAAATTGCTGGTATATTTGATGATTCGAAATGGACAATGTGTCTCTTGTCGACACAATGTGCAACGTGTAATGACCTGGATCAATTACAGAGATGGAAATTGGACCTGATAAAGCAATCAAACAAGCTTAGACTGTCTGATTCCATCAATGCTGATGACAATGAAGAGATCAGCGATGTCAAACATTATCAAGGAAATGTCGACAGTGATCTGACTGTAGACATGATGGTCTCACATCTGATGACTGAATCTTTGGAAGCGTTAGATCACTCACAACTGCTCGACGATCAACGAAGGGCTTACGAGATCGTTTCATGGCACCTAAAACATATAACGTCAGGAAATCGACCTCTGCAGCTTATGATGTTGATACATGGTGAAGGAGGCATCAAAAAGTCAACAGTCATCCAGACAATAGACAGCACCTTCACCAGGATGGGAGTGGAAGAATGGCTAGCGAAAGCAGCATATACAGGGATAGCGACATTGGTGATCGATGGCAAGACAACCCATACGATAGCAGGAATCAACGTTAATGGTCGTCCAATGTCTGCGAAAAAGAGAAAAATGTTAGTGATGTACTGGGGGTGAAAAAGATATCTCATAATAGATGAGATATTGATGATATCGAAGGAGATGTTAGCCAGGATCGAACGTAACATCAGATCAGCAAGAGCAGGGTCTGACCACGAAGATGAACTGTTTGGAGGCATCAATGTGATATTATGTGGTGATTTTCATCAATTCACCTCTGTGTCGCAGCCACCCACTTTGGCACTGTACTATCTGATCAAAATGGTCAAGAAAGTGTCAGAAGATAGTCGAGCAGGAAGATTGTTATACGAACATTTTTGTACGGTCATCATATTGAAAGAACAAGTTCACATGATCGACCCAGTATGATTGGACTTCCTATAGCACTTACGTGCTGGCAATGTCAGAAGCTGAGCGCATGCTGCAGGAGCTCGTTATCAATGACAGAAACTGTCCATAATCAGGCTATGACTCACCTCCATGGAGCTCAGCTACACTAGTCACTCCCCGCCATGGTGTACGTGAAGCATGGAACAACGTAGCACTCAAATGGCACTGCAACTGAACAGGTAAAAGGATGTTTATATGTACAGCTGAAGATGACATAGAAGGACGTGCGTTAAATATTCATAAAAAAATAGCTTTGGCGAGGACAGAACATAAGCCAGCAAGACATCAGAAGCGACGACTACCACTGGAGATGAAGATTGCTGTCGGTATGAAAGTCACGGTGACGCTGAATCTGTCAACAGACTTGAATATTGTTGTCATAGTTTTATCCAGACATATTCATTTCGACAACATAAGTCTTATATAAGGCAATCCTATATCCAGATATGGATACAAACTTTCATATTAGTCTATCAATGCGAATACTCGCACCAACAATAAGATACAGCCACATATCTCGCGAATGTGCCTGCATCCACCAACTGACCAATCAGGGGCCCAATCTGAACACCCAGTCATGTGACTGGATAAGGAGCCTAAATCACCAAGGACTATGTTCGCCACATCATGGGTAGTAGCAATAACCCTATTGGATACGTCCAATAGGACCAACACCATTGGCCACTCAACAGTGGCACTACAACAGTCACTCACAGAAGTGGCGCCATGTTATATGATATATCTCATTGGATCGGCAATGGCCATTCGTGGATAGTCATTATGGTCGAGACCAGAACCATTACTGGTTCTGGCATTATGTTCACATGTAGGTACCAGAGGTCTCACAGGAGCACACGTGCCAGGGGTCCTGACTACATGTATATAAGTATGCCTTGAGTTCCCCAGTTTCATTCACCTATTATATGAGGCCTAACAGGCCATATGCTTATGCTCATAACATATAAGGCTGAGGGGCCCTTTGAGCCCGCTCTTGCTTCATATCACCATGCAACACAGGTCATGGGTCATGAGATGCAGGCTACATCTTGTAGCCAGTTCCTCGCCTTTCAGGCAGGGATCGTAAAGCGCTGTGACAATTGTGAATGGAGTGCGAGGCATGATAACAAAGATCATACTGCATCCAGAGAAGTCAGAACATGGGAACAATACCATAGTCAGATTGCAACACTTACCGGTGTACATCATTGTCAAGTTGAAAGGGACAAAGGTTGCGAAGCTAGAAGGACTGGAGGAGTAGGAAATTTCAATCGAGCCTGCACAGCAAACATAGTCACTTAATGTTACCAATGTAGGTGCTGAGAACCAACACATCAAGGTCACAATGTATCGGAGACAGTATTCAATCGTAGTCGCTTATGCATTGACAGATTATCGATCACAAGGACAAACTATGGAAAACGTGTTCATTAACATGGTGAGGCCTCCGACAAGAAAGCTGAGCCTGTTCAATTTATACATTGCGCTTTTGCGCAGTCACAGCTAGGAAACAATACAGATACTCAGAGATTTCGACGAAAACATGTTTCACGAACCTCATGACAAGAGATTGTTGATGGAAGATGAATGATTGGCCAGTTTAGATTATGAAACGATGGCATGGTAGAATGAAATTGATTGTCATATGCATCATTTCAATATATAGCACAGTGTATACTTTACACAACTAATTTGTATCATGCAATGATTGGCCGTAAACGACGATAGAACATGACTGTGATCCATGGCATTGACGTTCAAAAATAGCATAAACAGAACCTATAGGAAATATGGACTGCAGCACGTGCACGTAATTGCTAATCACAAAATGATATGGTCAATAGAACACCGCTGGATGTATAAGGCACATTCACCATACATATTTAAAATTCTCATCCTGATGACATCTATAAGGGCCATCGATGGCCAATACACATTGGTGCCAGACTGATGAACTCTATTCAGAAGGAAAACAACATAAAGTAGGCACCAGATGATGGCAAATGGGAGGACAAACCATGTGCCAGAATGCGCGATAACGAAACGAAAAAGCAGAACACCAAATGGATATGCACACAACAACATAGATGTGTAGGACTGTCACAGTATTAAGTGGCACCTTTCTTTTTGCACCATTAAAGTTCTCATTTGAGTGGTTATTTGGATGCCAACCTTCATATTGGTCTCACAAAGTGGATACTTGGATAAACAACACAATACTGCCACATACATTGCGAATATGACTGTGTCTACCACATGACCACCAAGTGCCCATGATTCAGCCACTCAGTCATGTGACACTGATCACTTGCCCTATTTGAAAGTTGTCAGGTGTTGATCATGTGACACCAGGTCACTTGCCTAGAAAGGAACTCATTAGACCACCAAGCTAGCAAGCACCCAATTCGCCACTCAAAATAGTGGCACCACTTTGCCGCCTAAATCAATAGGCAGGTACCACAACTTAGAACCCCCCTATCAACTGGCATACAGTATAGCCAGGTACAGGATAGGCTGGATCTTCTCACAACCCTATCTAGATGAAGACTGATCGTCACGCTCATTGTTCTGAGTTTGGACAGATCCTCTCATCTGATGTTGCAACCATTGTGATGTGCCCTGTTGGCCATCACCCATTGGCCCCTCAACAGTGGGCCCACTTACAGGCAATTGTCTCATTGGATTAGATAGGATTACCTCAGTGTATCCACGGCCTTTGTAGATAGTTGCTATGGCAAAGCCCAGAACCATTACCGTGTCACGGCACTGCCGGACAAGAGATCAAAAAGACTAAAAAGAAATGGTCACGTGGAACGTGTCGCCCTGATCCCCCTGATCCCTTATGTGGCTTGAGAGCCTAACACTTACTTGTTGGTGAAGCAAGCGTCTGAAAGGGTGAGAGATATATGCAGGAGCTTGGAAAGCTCAGTGAGTGCTACGGTAGTAGATGAGGAGAAACAATCTGAGGTTTCGTCCTCTACATGCTGGTCTTTATATACACGTACAGCGAACTATCTTACCTAAGCTACCTATCTATGGATATAAGCTAATGGCCGTACATGAAACAATGGAATGTCCGGAAGTAGAACAATAAGTGGGAAGATCGATGGCTGCTGTGTGAGCATCATGCCTATCTTGGTTTTCCTTTTGTTCTCTGGTGTGAACATCGTGCCTATCTGGGCTTCTGGCTAAACTAATAGGAAGTGGAAGGCCGATGCATAACAATAGTCCTTGTTCCCTTTGTTCTCAAATGAGTGCCCCTATTGTATTCTGGAATAGACAGGTCCGACCATATCATCCACGGGTCTGGATCATAACGTGTGATGTAGACTATCACCTGATTCCTACGCGTCGCATCTGTGGCTGAGTGACATGGAATATTGGTAAAGCACGTGATCTGTGGTGTGAGTAAAGTCACGTGTGGACTTTTGTGGTGAAAATCTGTGACACTACCCCCCTTTCAAGGCTCATCGTCTTGTAGAGCCAAAACCTTTATCCCCTCATGTATGTCTGTTTCTCAATGGTCCCTTGTAGTCAACTGGTATGCCTTCGACATACGCTTCGAATACTATCTGAGCGATTTGATCGTCAACGGCAACATTGAAAGGATAGTCTGAATGGTTAATCATGACGACTTTTAGTTCTCCAGTGTAGTCTGGATCGATGACACCAGCTCTGATGTCAATGCTCTATCGTGCAGAAAGGCCACTTCATGGGGCAATTCTGGTGTATGTGCCAACTGGAGGTTCTATTGCAATTCTGGTTCCTACTACTGTTTGCGAATGGGAAAGGATTGTATGAGTTTCAGCGGCATAGATATCTCATCCTGCCACGTTCTCGGATCCCCTGGTAGAAGCTTTGGCATTTTTCGTCATCTTGTGGTAGATAAAGTAGTCATCGTCATTGTGATCTGTCAGACTTATCCTGTGTGTGGACTTTGGGGCTATTTTATATGAGGATAATTTGAAGTGTTTTCCGCCATACATAACAACCCTGATTGGTGCTTTCGGAGCATCTGGGTGTTGTTGGTGGAATTCTTGAAGCAACTCCTTGGCGTTGGTAAGATTTGTTCGGGGTTTCCATGTGTCGTCGGAATGGTCATAGCCTTTCCATTTGATGAGGTATTGAACCCTTCCTCTTACTACCTTTGAGTCTAAGATTTCTTCGACTTCGAATTCTGGTTTTTCTTCAATTTCGATTGCTGGAGGTTTTGGGGGTTCGCGGTTTGTGACCGTGTCTTGATGATACATGATTAGCTTGCTTGCATGGAAGACTGGATGGACCTTCATTTGCTTGGATAGTTCTAGTCTGAACGTGACTGGTCCTAGCTTCTGAAGTACTTTGTAAGGTCCGAAGTTTTGTGTGCCTAGCTTCATGGATTTGACCTTTACTCTGAGATCTTTTTCTTTGAGTAGTACTAGGTCTCTGACTTTGAATGGGACTTCTCCCTTTTTCTCATCGAAGTACGATTTCATTCGCGAAGCTGAAACTTCCAATGCTGCCTTTGCCTGTTTTTGCGCCTCGGATCAGTGAGCGAATAGGTGTTCTAATGAAGAATGATGTATTGACTCGTGTACGTCTGGTGCCATTTTTGGATGCCAGCCATATTCGACAAAAAATGGGGAAAGTGCGGTGGACTCGTGGGTCTGGTTATTGTATGAAAATTCTACTGTTGGCAGATAGTAGACCCAGTCATTTTGTCTGTGGTTGCAGTACATACAAAGGTACTGTTCCAACACCTGGTTAACCCTTTCCATCTGACCATCTGTTTGGGGGTGATATGCTGTAGACATTGTAGACTTTATACCGAGCTTCTGGCAGAACTCCTGGAATAGTTTACTCGCGCACTGGGTACCTCTGTCTGAGATAATCTGGCACGGTAATCCATGGAGTTTGAAGACTTCATTATAGAATATGTTAGTGACTTGTGATGAGGTAACTGTATTGTCTGTTGCATAAAGGTGCGCTCACTTCATGAATCTGTCTACGACGACAAGTATTGCCATCTTCTTTTCTCCCCTAAAGTTCATGGCTGGAGGAAGTTGGGTGATGAGATTGACGGTGATGATCTTCCATGGTCCTTCTGGTACATTATTGGGTTGTAGTAGTCCGTATGGTTTTTCTCTTGAGTACTTATTGCGTTGACAACTGTCGCAACGTTGTACGTATTTCTTAACCATTACAGACATTCCTGGTCACCAATAGTTCCGAGTAATGAGCTCCAATGTCTTGAACCTGCCTGGATGTCCGGCTGCTAATGTGTCATGATGGAGCTTTATTAGGTCGAGGTGTAGCTGTTGAGCCTTGAGAACATAAACCTTTCCGTGATGGAGTAGCAGTCTGTGCTCAAAGTTCCATTCCGCGAGGTTTTTCCTAAATTCGCGCTGTCCTGTAGTCAAAAGTGCACAATAATCCTTGGTCATCGTGTCATCTGTGAGTGCCTTCTTGATCCTTTCCAGTAGTTGAGCATCATCAACTTCAGATGCAGGAGCAGGTCGAATCGCATTGATAGCGAAAAATTCCAGTTTTAACAACATTTGGTTCGAATTGTCGCTGTCCACCCTCCTCTCATGGTCTGGCCTCCTAGACAGAGGATCGGCACATAGCATAGTCTTTCCAGATCAGTGACTAAGTATAAAATTGAATCATGTGAGGAATAATGCTCAGCACGCTTGGTGCTGGGATAACTTCTGTGCCTGGCGGAAGTATGTAAGGTTGAGATGATCTGACCAAATCTCAATGGGTTCTGGATGTCCTTCTAGATAGTGCCAGTATTCTTCTAGTGCCCGAATGATTGCAAGCATCTCCTTGTCATAAATCTCATAGTTTCTCTCATGTTCATTAAGTGATTTGGAGTAGTATGCGACTGGATGCCATAGCTTGTTGTTACGAAATGTACCGTCGCTCATGGTCATGTGATCCCCATGAACAAGCGCCTAGAAGAGACGCCCAATCACGGTCAGGTGATATCAGTCACTATGTGACCAAAGACAGCTTCTAGTCACTATGTGACCGAGGACAGCTTCTAGGGTTCTCAAACTCTAACCCCAGGATCTGCGATCCAGGACTTTGGTTCCCATTTTATATTTCAGGTATTTCACCTACGCTTTTCTTAGCTCGCCAATTACCTGGCTCGCAGCAGCTAAGCTCCGGTGTGTTTCACCTATCTTTATCACTGAGGCAGTGTAAAGGACCCCTTGTACTAGTACCCCAGACTATAGGTCTGCGACTATATAAAGGGGCGGAGCAGCAGCTGGAAGATAACCTCTTCCACCTGTGACTCTGAACGTTCTCAGTTCTAGAACCCTCATGCAATCGTACTCGCTCTCAAGAGGTAGTAAGCTCGTATGCTTGCTAGAGTCAGAACAGCGAACCTAGTAACCTGCGGGTGAACGTGCAGTAGCTGTAGCGGCCAAGGCCTAGCAAGGGTAGAGTGAGGACCTCACTGCTACATCGTCTACTAGGCTTGACCACACTATAAACCCTGCTAATAGTCTGCCTGACTATTGGAGACATTAGGTATATTCGATATCTAAGTCTCCATCCACGTTGTGGACTAGTACGTGTGAGAAAGCACACATGGTTCTGAACGTTCTAGCAGAGAACGCTTCATAACATTTGGAAGAGGTTTTTCTATAGGTCAACCTGTTTAGGTTTCTAACCACTTACAAGAAGTGGGGTCTACTTGGACGCTACAGGAAACTCAAGACCTGTGTGGTCACTTCCAGGACCTGTGTGGTTACCTCGGTACGACAGGGAAAAGGAACCTGTGTGGACACCCTCGGACCTGTGTGGTTAACTCAGATCTGTGTGGATCGAACTCAAGCACTAGTGATTACCTGTGTGGTAATCCAGAAGAGAAGCCCTCAACTGAGGCACACGTAGAAGACGTGCTAAAGCCCTTCCCAGGGAAGGCAATTTGAAATCAAGAAGATTCAAGGAACTAGCGGTAGTCTGTGTGACTATCCAGAAGAACTCTGTGTGGAAACGCGGACCGGTGCGGTCGACGAACAATTGGTTAAGGACCATCAAGAAAAGACAAAATGTCGTATCGTGAAAACAAAGGATATGAATCGGACTCTGGAGATGAGCCGGTAGGCTATCAAGGAGATAAAGGATACACGACGCCGTTGTCATGGAACGATGCAACCAATGAAGAATTGGATTGGTTCGCCGATGTCAAGAATACACGAGCCATTGCGTTGTGAAGACGACAAAGGCTGGGGAACCTTACAACCCCAGAAGAACAGCAGGAGCTTCGAGAGCTCGAACGCGACGTTGAAGAAATTCAACGCGTAATCAATAATAGGAAGGACATTGCAAAGGATTTCGAGGACGAATTCCTAACGCATACGGACCTTCCTAGAGGAGAAGTAATACAAGTCGATCCAAGGCCAGAGGACGCCGAGGGATCAAACAAGGATAAAGGAGGGGAGGAATGGAATCCTCTCGGCATCAATCCAAGTCTACTAAGGAGTAGCGATTCCAGCGTTACGCCAACATCCACGAAACCCTACGATGGATTAGGATTATGGAAAGGAGTTAGGACGATACCCTTGACCAGGACATCCTCGGAAGGAGGAAGGCCAGTAACGCCAGTCGGAATGCCAGTAAGGCCACAGTCAGCCATGGCGCAAACAAGTAGTCTGGGAACTACTCGTCAAAACCCCATCAAAGCACGGTACGATCCAGCCAATGGACCACCAGTGCATCCAGGACCAACATGTCTGGAATTTCAGTGGCAGGAATATCTCCTGGAAATGAATCTCTACGCGCTGTATAATTCTGCACAACCAGAATTGGAAAAGGAGGAATTACAGCTAGGCGAGATCCGACCATTCGCAGGAGATAAGCGAACATTCACGTCATTCCTCCAGGCTGGAGAACGACATCTCCAGGCAAACATCCACATATACGACGATGACTACAGTCAAATAACGTTCATCCTATCCCACTTCGAACCAGGTTCAGCAGCAGCAAAATGGGTCGAATCATGGAAAGCAGCGATGATCGCATCTACAGGAAGATCAGATGATCTAGGACTTTATCGTGACTTTCGGATGACACTCCAAGAAAAGTATGGAGGAGTCGCAACCAAGGACCAAGCATGGCAAACGTTACTCGACAATCAGTGCAGGCAAAAGAAAGGGAAGGTCGACGATTACATCAGAAATCTTGACATCCTATTTCGCTATGCTGAAATCGACGATGACTATACCAAGCTCGTTCATTTCAAGCGAGGCTTGGAATCGAAGTTGGCAGAAAAAGTCTTCCTTACTCCGAATCCTCCAACCACATATGAGGATGCTTGCGACAGTGCAAGACAAGTCAACGACCTTCGAAATGTCCATAAAGGAAAAAGCAACATCTTCGATTTCATCACACATGCGAATCAGGATGATTCAATGGATGCAGGAGAATTGATGGATATAGACGATCCCAATGCAATGGACATCGATAGGGCACGACGAATACGACAAGTACGGAACCTCCCAGTCAAGGAACGCCTATGCTATACGTGCAGGAAGCCAGGGCACGAGATGGATCAATGCCCTTCAAAGAAGCCAAACATTGATCGAATCCTGCCCGTACAGATCGTATCAAAGAAGAAGCAGAAGAAGGCTTCTTCAATTAAGAAGAAAGATGCACACGCATCTATCGGATCACAAGAACCCTCACAAGATCCGCCGATCACGAAGAAGATGCGAAAGCAGATTGAGCAATTGGTAACGAAGTTGGTCAATGCAACATTTGTCAAGCTTCTTCTCGGAGGTGACAATCGAGATCACCATATCGATCAGAAGAAGAAGGAAGCCGAAGAAGATGATGACGAACCTATGGATATCGATCGAATGTCTGAACATATTCTTGGCATGAATACCATTCGAATTGGCGCCATACGAACTCATTCATCACATGACGACCAGACAGCCTTCCCTACGTCAATATGGAAGGAAGTACTTATGTCATCGCTCGATCTCAGTCAAAAAGAATAGCATGGAATCAAGGCCATTGTCCAAAGAAAATTTGACAAGAGACGGCAAGGAGATGATGATGAAAGTACTTCATCTACGTCTTCCTCTTCAGCAGATAACATGCCCAGCCAGCATATGGAGACATGTCCTAACCAGAAAGGCAAACAGAAGAAGACAAAACGGCAGCAGTCGACTAAGTCAGGCCAGCAATCCTCACCTTCCATTAACCAATGGATCAATCAGCCATTCAAAGGGACTCACGATGATTCTCGCCATTCACAACCGGGACAAGAACAGTTCTCTGGTCGATGCTGGAACTGTAATCGTATCGGACATCGCGAATTTGAATTTCCAAAACTGCCTCGAATGAATGTTACTTCTGAAAACAGTAACCAATCAAGGTCACGATCATTGCGAAAGCACGAACGATGGAATGCAGGATGAATCCCCGATTCGTTATCACCTAAGCATCCCAAGGCAGCCTATGCACGGAACTCCAGTATTGATTCCTCGAATCCAAGCACTGGCAGCAATGTGAAGCAAGGAACTTCTCCAAGTCCCTCAAGCCCTCAAGTGCATCGCAGTGGATGTACCATCGAGTTGTTTAACAGTGATTCTGAATCATCAAGCACCAATCAGACTTCCTGGGCTGATCAAGTCAAAAGGAGATATCAGTCTCAGAGCAGCCCTGCATCAGAACAATCAAGTATCGGCACGAATGATGAGTCCTCCGCTGAATCACACAACAGCTCTACGCATACTATTTCAAGAATACTTCCTTTCTCGAGGCGAAAGCGCAGATGGAGAAGACAGGATCTTCTGGTTTAATCACCAAGAGGTCTTGGCAGTTGGAGAGGGAAGCTTGTGTTACGAAACGTACTGTCGCTCATGGTCACGTGATCCCCATGAACAAGCGCCTAGAAGAGACGCCCAATCACGGTCAGGTGATATCAGTCACTATGTGACCGAAGACAGCTTCTAGTCACTATGTGACCGAGGACAGCTTCTAGGGTTCTCAAACTCTAACCCCAGGATCTGCGATCCAGGACTTTGGTTCCCATTTTATATTTCAGGTATTTCACCTACGCTTTTCTTAGCTCGCCAATTACCTGGCTCGCAGCAGCTAAGCTCCGGTGTGTTTCACCTATCTTTATCACTGAGGCAGTGTAAAGGACCCCTTGTACTAGTACCCCAGACTATAGGTCTGCGACTATATAAAGGGGCGGAGCAGCAGCTGGAAGATAACCTCTTCCACCTGTGACTCTGAACATTCTCAGTTCTAGAACCCTCATGCAATCGTACTCGCTCTCAAGAGGTAGTAAGCTCGTACGCTTGCTAGAGTCAGAACAGCGAACCTAGTAACCTGCAGGTGAACGTGCAGTAGCTGTAGCGGCCAAGGCCTAGCAAGGGTAGAGTGAGGACCTCACTGCTACATCGTCTACTAGGCTTGACCACACTATAAACCCTGCTAATAGTCTGTGTGACTATTGGAGATGTTAGGTATATTTGGTATCTAAGTCTCCGTCCACGTTGTGGACTAGTACGTGTGAGAAAGCACACATGGTTCTGAACGTTCTAGCAGGGAACGCTTCATAACACTTGTCTTCTCCCAGCTGTTCGAGTACTGCTCCTGTTGCATAGTCTGAGGAATCGGTTTCTAGGCAGTATGGTGCAGTGTCATTGGGGAGCTGTAAGATTGAGGCTGATGTAAACGCCATTTTGAGTGCACTGAAGGCTTGGTCTTGCTCTTCCTTCCATTGCCAGGGCACGTCCTTACAGGTGAGAAGCGTTAAAGGTCGTGCGAGTTTCGCAAAGTCCTTTATAAATCACCTGTAGAAATTCGTGAATCCTAAAAAGGCCTATACTTGTTTGACCTTAGTAGGTGCTGGCCAGCCAAGGACTCCTTCGATTTTAGCAGGGTCCATCTGTACTGAGTTCTTGCTGATAATCATGCCAAGATACTCAATTGAGGACTGTTCAAAGAAGCATTTCTCCAGTTTGACATACAAGTCGTTGTCCCGGAGGTGCTGTAGAACTGCTTTTACTAATTGTCGGTGTTCTTCGAGATCGTCGGTAAAGATGAGGATGTCATCTAGGTAGACTACCACTTTCCCTGTGCGAATCAAGTCTTTGAGGACTGTGTGCATCATCATTTGGAAAGTGCTAGGAGCGTTGCAGAAACTGAAGTACATTACTGTGGGTTTGAAGGGGCCACGATGTGTTTGTAAAGATGCTAGCTTGTGAGAGTCTATCGATAAGGTCTAAAATGCGTGGGATTGGGAACTTGTTCTTCTTGGTTACCGCGTTGAGGTTCCTGTAGTCTTGTACTGACCTCAGTGACCCATCTTTCTTTTTGACGAAGAAGACAGGTGCTGTTGTTGGACTCCTTGACCTCTTGATGTATTCTTTGGCCAACTCTTGGTCTATCCACGTGTCGAGCGAATTCCTTTCCTGTAGATTCATGGGATATAACTTTGCCGGGCATGGTAATGATGCCTCTGGAACAAGTTCGATTGGATGATCATAGGGCTTTCTTGTGGGCATTCATTCCGATTGCTTCTTGGAGAACACATCACCATACTCGTGGAAGTGTTTGGGGACATAGGCTGACACTGGGTGAAGCAATCAATAATTTGAGGTGAAAGATGATAAAAATATTGAAGAAAAAGTTCAAATCTTTTAAGCATCTTCACTGTCAATTTGTGATAAAAGTATCCAAAATATTTTTAACATCTTTTGTTGTGAAAGATGATGAAAGATTGAAAGGAGATTGCATGAAATATTAATAATCATTTCTTCAATCTTTTACAATCTTTCATACAAAACTATGACGAAAAGTTTCAAAATCTTTTCTCACTCTTTTTTGATCAAAGATGATGCAAATATTGTGACTATGTCACACCCTTGTTTTCATATACTAAGCTAGTACTAAGATATGGAGGTTAATACTCAGGTTTATATGTTAACACTATACTAGTGCTATAGTCAGAAGAGTAAGACTAAGATGCCAATGTTAGCAGTATGCTAATACTAAGATTTAAATGCTAGTACTATGCCAGTATTAAGGTCTGAAGGTTAGTACTATGCTAGTACTAAGCTAGTACTAGAGTTTGAAGGTAAGTGCTATGCTAGCATTCAGCTGGTACTAAAGCCTGAATGCTAGTACTACACTAGTACCAAGCCAGTACTAAGGTCTGAAGGTTAGTACTACGCTAGTACTACGCTAGTACTAAGCTAGTGCTAACATCTAGAGATCAATACTATGCTAGTACCATGCTAGTACTAGCCTTCAGACCTTAGTGCTAGCATAGTACTAACCTTCAAAGCTTAGTACTAGCATAGTACTAGCATAGTACTAACCTTCAAACCTTAGCATTACTCTGCAGACCTTAGTACTAGCTTATTACTAACCTTCAAACCTTAATACTAGCATAGTACTAGCATTAAAATTTTAGTATTAGGATACTGCTAACATTAGAATCTTAGTATTACTCTTCTGACTATAAGATTAGTATAGTGCTAATATATAATTCTGAGTATTAGCCTCCATATCTTAGTACTAGCTTAGTATATGAAAACAAGAGTGTGACATAGTCACAATATTTTCATCTTTTTTGATCAAAAAAAAGTAAAAAAAGATTTTAAAACTTTTCATCATAGTTTTATATGAAGGGGTTGTAAAATGATTGAAGAAATGATTATTAATATTTCATGCAATCTCCTTTCAATCTTTTCATCATCTTTCACAACAAAAGATGTTAAAAATATTTCAAATACTTTTATTACAAATTGACAGTGAAGATGCTTAGAAGATTTGAACTTTTTCTTCAATATTTTTACCATCTTTCACCTCAAATTATTGATTGTTTCACCCAGTGTGACCAGTAGTCTTTGTCCTGTTCTCCTTTTTGCGGTGCTCTATCCTGATTCCTCTTGGTGTCAAGACCCATGATAAGTGATGCTATGGCCTGCGCATCAGGGTCTTCTGATAATGACACCCATCTAATGAAGCTGTCCATGTTGTTCCAGTTGTCACCTAACTCCTGAGAACTGACAAACTCCATTAGGTCTTCGATGTGGGGGATGTTTGTGTCTTCCAGGTCCTCCTCCTGGACTGCTACCTGTGAGGGTGCGCATTGTTGTGGGCACCAGGTGAACTCAATATTAAGCTTTCCCCAATCCACTTCGGTATTATGCTCCTTGAGAAAGCTCATATCTAGTATAACATCTTTGTGACCAATGTTGGTGACAAGAAGGCTCTGTCTGCTGGTATGGTTTCTGATGGTTATACTTAGAAGAACCCTTTTCTTAATGGTTCTACCCTTGTTATGTGATGCATCTGCATTGTATACCCTGATCTCCTTCTCAAGTGAGATCGTAGCAAGATTTAACTGATCAACCAGCCGTGAGTTGATGTAACAAGAATATGCTCCTGAGTCGAGGAGCGCCTCAGTCTAGAGTTCCCTTACTCCCTGTTTGAGGTGAACAGGTAAATCGATCGCATGTTTTGATGAACCAGTTGATGCAATATATAGAAAATCTGAAACTGGTACATGCGCGAGTGAGTAGGTACTGTTTCAATGTCTATGAGAACTCTGGCCAGACCTCAGAGAACCCGCCGAAGAAAATCCTCATCACTTTCCACCTCTGTGATCCTAGCTGCTTTAACAGCTGGTTCTGGTTCTGCATCCTTTTCCTTTGCATCATAGCTGGCGAGGAAGGCACAGACTGCTTCTTCCCTCACTTTGCCATCATCGGAACTGCTTGATGCCACTGGTGTCGATATTGCCCTTGTCGCTTGTCCCTGTCTGGGCATTTCTAATTTGCCTTTGTACTTTGGGTCGGGGCACTTCTGTCTGAATATGAAGGGATGCTTTCCACAACGTACACAGAGCTTTCTTTCCAGCCAGCCTTCCTGTTCCTTGGTGAGTTGGGTGACGTGGTCCACATCCATTGCGTTAGGATCCTTTCAGGCTCTTGGTGCTTGTGATGATTGTGTTGTTGCTGTTCTGCACTGTCCTGCCTTGTCGGCCCTGAACTTGGATTCGAGTTGTAGACAGAGGTCGAGGTATTCTGGCCATGTGGTCAGATCTGCGATCCCTAGGCTGTCTCGAGTTACCATTGCCTGTCATACTTCCTTGCTTCGGTGTTCAGTGATATAGCCAATGAGTGTGGTGTGCCCTAAGTTCATCTTAGTGGCCCATTGCCAGAACTGTTTAGTGAAGAAGACCATCGTGGGATAGGTCTTGGCGCAGATCTCCTTCAGATGTTGTTGCACATCTTTGTCTGGGTCGAGCATCCTGTAGTTCACCTTGAGAATATTGACAAAGTCTTCCCAAGTACCGAGCACCTGCCATGCTGCTGCATTTGTTGCGTATTCAGACATATATGTAAAAGCACCTCCTTCTAAGTGCAGCAGCACCGTGGTAATCTTGCGTTCATCATCGTTGATCTCATTCCACCACATCCATATACCGAGTTGTTGGAGCCAGTCCTCCAGACTTCCTTTGCCCGAGTAGTGTGGAGGTTCAGCAATTTTAATGCAGGGGTAGTGGGATTGGACCTTGCTGGAGTTGTGACCTTGTGTTTTAGTAACGCCGCTTGCTTTGAGCGAAGCTAACTCATGTCACAGCTTAGTGTTCTCGCTGCCTAGTTCCATCATCCTTTTTCCCATGTCTAGCATGGATCCCTGCATGGTTGTGATCTCATCGTTGAGGACGATCATGTGTGCATCCTGGGCTTTGATCCTGTCTGAGAGCTTCTCATTTTCAGACTTAAGTACTGCCTCTTTGAGTTGTCGTTCATTTTGAGCCGATGCGATTGAGGCCTCAAGAATCCTTTTGTGCTCGTACATTTTGTCGCCGAGCACATTGTACATTTTCTTGAGCTCATTGTCTACCATTGACTTCATGACGACGATCACCCATTCACGAATGTTGTCCGGGACCTCACCGGGTGCAGATTGTCTGATAGCATCTTCGAGATGCTCGTACTGTTGTCCAGCGTAAGACCATGCAGGGGGGATGTATGCGGGGAGGAGTGATGGAGTCGGGGATGGTGGTCCTCCAACTTGCGATGCAGAATCTTCTGGTCGGAGTTCTGGTGATGCTTGTCTAGAAGCACGAGGTGTGCTTCCGTCATGTGCCTCAATGTTTGGATGCATGATGTCCTGCATTCTTTGTGCAAACATCAACATTTGTGTGCATCCAGATTCTGACATTGTGCAGATAGACATGTGTCTAATTAAAAATAAAGCCTAGGTACTGCTTGTCCTTGACTTTCCCAATCTCCCTGACGATCTCATCCAACCTCTGCTGCTTTCCTATCTCCTTGAAGTTGATCCTGCCTATCTCTAGGCAGCACGTGTTGATGACCTGTTTCTCTACAAAGGTGTATTCATGAGTTCCCGTGTAGAGGTCTGTGCAGACCTTGTCTAACTCTGATGCAAGGAGTTGTACCTTCTTTCATCTATCCTGATCAATTCTCTCCCAGAATGCTCCTAGTATTGGTTGCAGTCTGAAGCAGGTGGCTGAGACCTGCTTCTTGAGCATTTCGATATGGATGGTGGGCCTAATTTTGGACAGAAGAGGGCGAATGGGTCGTGCGTGTGTGTTGACTTTAACAAAGTTGGGAAGGGGTCGCACTGGCTGTGAAGCAACAATGATGGGGGGAACAGTGTTGGAGGTGATGATCTCTGGGGGTGGTCTCAGCTTTCGACCACCTGTAGTGAGGTGTCCTTTCCTAGGCTTATAGCGTTCAAGTGGGGGGGTGTGACTGTGAGGCCGGCGAATGATGCCTTGGACTCTGATGTGTGTAGTATCAACTACCCTGGCCGCTGCGTGCTGCCTGTCTGTAGAGGATGTGTCTAGGGAAGCTAGAGTGAGAAGCCTTCCTCACTCCTTGTTGATCTCGAGGTGTTTGTAGCTGGTGTAAGGATCATCATGCCTTGGTGGCCTTGCACTTTGCTGCCTTGGGCTGCTCAGTGTCTTGCTGAGGCTCACACCTGGTAGAAGTCGAGTTGGAATATGTGGAGAAAAAGCCATGTGCTACGGCTGAAACTGCTTGCGCTGAAAATATGTGGCCACTTGTGTTAAACACTAAGCAGGGACACAGAAAATGTCAGATTGTTTCTAATGTCATGGCACCGCCAGACAAGAGATCAAAAAGACTAAAAAGGAATGGTCACGTGGAACGTGTCGCTCTGATCCCCCTGATCCCTTATGTGGCTTGAGAGCCTAACACTTACTTGTTGGTGAAGCAAGCGTCTGAAAGGGTGAGAGATATATGCAGGAGCTTGGAAAGCTCAGTGGGTGCTACGGTAGTAGATGAGGAGAAACAATCTGAGGTTTCGTCCTCTACATGCTGGTCTTTATATACACATACAGCGAACTATCTTACCTAAGCTACCTATCTATGGGTATAAGCTAATGGCCGTACATGAAACAATGGAATGTCCGGAAGTAGAACAATAAGTGGGAAGATCGATGGCTGCTGTGTGAGCATCGTGCTATCTTGGTTTTCCTTTTATTCTCCGGTGTGAACATCGTGCCTATCTGGGCTTCTGGCTAAACTAATAGGAAGTGGAAGGCCGATGCATAACAATAGTCCTTGTTCCCTTTGTTCCCAAATGGGTGCCCCTATTGTATCCTGGAATAGACAGGTCTGACTGTATCATCCACGGATCTGGACCATAACATGTGATGTAGACTATCACCTGATTCCTACGTGTCGTGTCTGTGGCTGAGTGGCATGGAATATTGGTGAAGCACGTGATCTGTGGCGTGAGTAAAGTCATGTGTGGACTTTTGTGGTGAAAATCTGTGACATACCAGTTTTGACAATATGTTCACATATAGGTATCTGAGATCTCACAGTAGCACAGTGCCAGGGGCCCTGCCCTACATGTATATAAGCACCTATGAGGAAGCTGGGTACCCCCAGTTTCATTCAACTATTTCATGTGGCCTAAACAGGCATCACCTCCCTTTTGTATGATATAAGGCAAAGGGCCCTTTGAGCCTCTTTTTGCAGGCTGCATGTCACTGCATGCCTTTTTGACCTAGCCTCCTTGTGGCAGGTTCTTATTTTGGTATTTGTGCAGGTCACTGAGCGTGGCTAGCACCTTGCAACCATTTCCTTGCCTTTTGACAGGATTCATGATGCACCGTAACATTTGAATGAAACTGCATGCACACCCCCAGCTTCCTGCTGCTGGTGTGATTTGTTGGTCCTAAACATGACCACCTTAAACAAAACTGTTTAATTTTTGAGCCAAGCGAAGAAGACCTAGAGTTATTCGCTTGTGCTTTTTCAGCCCAAGAAATCCAGGTGTGGGGCACACCTTTTTTGACACATCTATCATCACCTCTATTGCTGTTAGCCTACCTCAAGACTTGGTAGCAGGCACCTTCGTGTAAGCAGCTCCCTCACCAGGCTAGCGCTGCAGCAACATTTGATATTGGAACCTTTGTCCCCCCACCCATATTCATTTCAATATGGGCAATATTTGCGAAAATACCATGAGTTATCGCTCCTTATGTGCGAAAATACTATAAGTTATCGCTTACATAAGACATCCAACGTCCGAAATGACATAAAACTATTACATTTATATATCATTTGTATATAGGAATTGGTCACCTATAGATATATAATACATATTTCGGATATCTAAAGACATACTACCATCGAATCAATCATCCTGATTGCCCATAAGATCTCCAAGAGCACAGCAGTCTTTTGATTGTAAACTGCTGGTGAAAATAGATCTTTACTTAGTTGTAGCAGTCCACAATAGATAATCCAAATTTTTAGGGAGCTATTTTGGCACACACAATGGGATATTGGAAATACTTTTATCCAGAAGTGGTCTCAGAATTACTACATATTGTGCAACAATCAGTAATTTATTCGCTATGGGATGCCTCCACTACCTATTCCCCACAACAAGTGCATAGGCTTTTTTTCCCACCCATTCTCCCTTATCTTTTTGTGCCCCACAAGTCTTGTTCAATCTAATAAATCATTCATGCCACGTCAGTCCTGGGAGGGACCTGGCAAGGGGTAGGTAATATAGGGGATAACCGAAGGTTAATCACCTTTAATGTGCGTGTGTGCAATGAATATGTAACTATGCCTGGAATGCCGAAGAGTGGACAAGCTGAAGAGCTGACAGGCACATCAACAGCAATTGCCCAGCATAACCCGATGCGATATTCAAAGGAACACAAGCAAGATGTTATGGATAATTTGCCAGATGGAACATCAAGGATTATATTTCTCCTCAATTCGCAGAGCGACATTTTTCAAACTTTTTGCCTAACATGCCACTGAATGGAGCAAATGAGAGACCATTGCTACCTATGAGACAGAGCATTGGGGAACACTTCTCAACTTCAAATAGCACCAATTCTATATAAAATCCTAAAAGACATAGGCAACCTTTTGGGTACAAGACACAATCTTTAGAACAGCTCTCTGACCAAGAGCATTCTATCATTTGGCAGCTATGAGCGCCACCATGGACCTGGGCAAGTCAATCAAACTGCACCACTAGGCAGCTATGAGGGTCACCAAGCACGTGATCTATTACCATATTTAGCAGCATTGAGCGCCTTATGGCACATAACTTTGCAAGATTATGTAATAAAGAACATATACTGGTCGGGTTTTGAACTTGATACTTCACCGCCCCCATGGCACAGTGGAAGCATCCATGAGGGCATGACAAGAATGTGTGAATTCGACAAATGACTGATGACAGCGTTCGACAACTGGTGAAGCCCAGTATCCAGAGTGATACTGAAGGGCCACAACAGGGCCTTAAATGCATCTTTTTATATAAATAATCTGCACGACCTTAGCACATCATTAAACTATTCAATTTTTAGCAGCTTTGAGCACCACGAATGACCAAGCTCATGTCTTTAAACTTCAAGCCCTTTTGCATATCATCTTGAGCAATAGCAGCTAATAGCAATGTCTGTGACATTAGATAACTAGGACCAAGGACTGTTAGCCACACAAGTGCACCATTTACCTGAGCAAGTCATTAAACTGCATCACCCCTTTTTGCTGCTAGCAAAGTCTTGAATGCCATTCACACACCCTGCCATTGCACCCTGGAGGTCAGAACCTGAAGCGAGGGTACTATTTACCTTAGCATTTATTCAGTTCATCCAGAGTCTGAACCTGAAAGCGAGGGTAGTGTCACAGTATTAAGTGGCACCTTTCTTTTTGCACCATTAAAGTTCTCATTTGAGTGGTTATTCGAATGCCAACCTTCATATTGGTCTCACAAAGTGAATACTTGAACAAACAGCACAATACTGTCACATACATTGCAGATATGACTGTGTCTACCACATGACCACCAAGCGCCCATGATTCAGCCACCCAGTCATGTGACACTGGCCACTTGCCCTATTTGGAAATTGTCAGGCATTGGTCACGTGACACCAGGCCACTTGTTCAGAAAGGAATTTATTGGACCATCAAGCTAGCAAGCACCCAATTCGCCACTCAAAATAGTGGCACCGCTTTGCTGCCTAAACCAATAGACAGGTACCACAACTTAGAATCCCCCTACCAACTGGCATACAGTATAGCCAGGTACAGGATAGGCTGGATCTTCTCACAACCCTACCTAAATGAAGACTGATTGTCACACTCATTGTTCTAAGTTTGGACAGATCCTCTCATCTGATGTTGCAACTGTTGTGATGTGCCCTGTTGGCCATCATCCATTGGCCCCTCAACAGTGGGCCCACTTACAGGCAATTGTCTCATTGGATTAGATAGGATTACCTCAGTGTATCCATGACCTTTGTAGATAGTTGCTATGGCAAAGCCCAGAACCATTACCAGTTTTGGCAATATATTCACATGTAGGCATCTGAGGTCTCTGTCACAGATTTTTGCCACAAAAGTCCACACGTGACTTTGCTCACGCCACAGATCACGTGCTTTACCAATATCTCATGCCACTCAGCCACAGACGTGATGCGTAGAGATCAGGTGATAGTCCACATCACATGTTATGGTCCAGACTCGTGGATGATACGGTCGGACCTGTCTATTCCAGGACACAATAGAGGCACCCATTTGGGAACAAAGGGAACAAGGACTATTGCTATACATCGGCCTTCCGCTTCCTATTAGTTT